TCCTCCGATATTGCCCTCCACATTTAGAATCAACATCACGCGTTTAGAGTATTTTTGGCTGCTATAAATTTTCACGTGATCAACCACTTCGTTGAGCTATCATTTGTGGCCAGGTTGCCTCTGAAAAAGAAGCTAATAGGTCAGTGGGGCCTTACCTGGTAAAATAAAATAGTTGAGTTTTATTCGTGTATATTTTTGGTCAGTGATTTGTTTACCTTCCCTATACCTTGCACTCTTATCGTGTGTTTTTTTTTCTCACACACCCCTACTGGAGATGTGTGGGGAAAAAAATAGCTTCATAGCTCATCGGATTCCTCCGGTATAAATATTCTGATTCCGAAATTTGTCGTGTCGGACTGCGCGCACGCGCGTGGCAAGCCGATTCGTTCTCGAAGCCAATCCAGCTAGCCAACAGCGGAGGGTCGCGACAACCGTCGCTGCGCGATCGATCGACGGAGCGTAAGTCGAGGCCCCGTCAGCACCCGCTGCCGTCCTCAACGGCGGAGAGGATGGAGGGCCGCCCCCCCCTCCCAAAAACAAACAGCCGTGATGTGCAATCAGGAGCTCCGTGCGGGGCACGTACACAATTGGCGTTGTGCAGCTGTGTGCACTGTGTATTTATGACTTGACGACTCACGTCAGGAGACGGTTACATGAAGCCGGGCATCTATTAAAGGGAGATGACCTCAGCGTACACAGCATTTTCAGCATTTGATTTGCAATGGTTGTTTTTTTAAAATATAAATATATATGTGCCACTGCCGATTCTGCAAATACCCAGGTGACATTTAATGAGAGCCAGAGCAGGTGACTGGGCGACACTGCTGATACCTGGGTTCGACTCCAGGTTTTGACCACCCATGATTCAAGACTACGGGTGTTGCGGTACCGAGATGTTAACTACCTCGCCCGGTGTGCAAGAAGGCGTATGTTGAATCCTGACCCCGACGCCTGTATATTTGAAGTTTTCATGTTCTCCCCGTGGTCGCGTGGACTTTTCTCCGGATGCTCCGGTTTTTTTCCCTCCACGTTTAGAAACGTGCATTTCGAGTATGTGGCTGCTATACATTTCCACATGATATAAGCCACTTCACTGGGCTACCGTTTGTGGCCAGGTCGCTTCTGAATAAAGAGCTAGATAGCTCAGTGGGGCCTTACCTGGTAAAATAAAAAAAATAGATTATTTACGTCTCTCACGTTTCCTTTTAAGGCCACAGCGTTCGTTATGCACGAATGTGTTGCGTTCGTGTTTCGTTATTTGTCTACGTGCACCAATGCCAACGCAGCAACAGCAGCAACATCGCCAAGATAATTTGTTAAGATTCTTGAAAACGCAAATGAATGTCAATTACCACTGCGCCTGGCCTTCGTATACTCACGAAAGGGGGCCACTTGAAAGGGTGTACTCCGATGCAGGCGTCCCAGCTCTCTTAAGGGAGGGGTTGATAATTTTTTTGATGCGTCTCGATTTTTATTATAATTATTTTATAATAAAAAAAAATTGTATCGACAGAACAGCTCCACTTCAGATTGCATGAAATGTTGAAATAGACTGAGCGAAGAGCAACGCGAGGATATTCTGCTCTCGCCAAGGTTATTCCCAGCGACGTGAGAATATATTTATCCAAATTAGGATTGGAGCAAATTTAATGACGACTTCGACGCACTTGTCATGAGATGGTTTCTTTATTAAGGAGCCACGTGCTCACACTCGGGACAGGCGGAGACCCCCACTGCAACAGCCCCGAGTTTCCCACGCATCTCCCTTGTATACGGTCCGAGACCACGCCCCCATTCCCGAACCTTCTTGCTGGCTCTAGACGCTCGCACTACTAGCAGACTCCACCGTCCTCTTCCGCCACGTGGCCATGCTCCTATTCTCGATCATTCTCGTAGCCACCAGTCCATTCGTACTGCAGGCTGACTCCCCTGGCATTACCTCCCGTGGCCACTAGTCCACTCACACCGTAGGCTGACTCCCCTGTCATTACCTCCCATGGCCACTAGTCCACTCACACCGTAGGCTGACTCCCCTGTCATTACCTCCTGTGGCCACAAGTCCACTCACACCGTAGGCTGACTCCCTTGTCATTACCTCCTGTGGCCACTAGTCCACTCATACCGTAGGCTGACTCTACTGTCATTAAACAAATAAAGGCATAAAATATGAAGGGGGAAAGAACGATTTGCCCATTTTAGAGTGGTTGGTTTACACCCCCAGTCGTCGTGACAACCGGGCGAATGAAACGAACGGCAGGACATTATTGAAGATGCTAACGATGCGGGGGCTGTCAAGTTGGGCTCTAGATACAAAAACACATCCACGAGCAACACAAAGTTTTTGCACAACAAGTTCGCTCAAATTAAGGAAATCGTTGTCGGAGGGACGCAATGGGAAGAAAAAAGACAAAGATCCCCCATATAGCCTTTACAGAGTGTTGGGGAAAGTGCTGTTAGCGAGTAGCACTTATAAAGGCCAGAACTGCACACGAGGGGGTGGGTGACCAGCACCGCGCCCGGCCGCCTTTGTCTCCCCAGCGGCGATGTTTACACACTGCACCAGGTACTCATTTGAGCCGAGTCGACCTATGGGAGGCCCAGGACCGGTACAGATAATCGTCACCGGTGTTGGCCATGAGCGGGAATCGAACTCGGGTCGCTGGGTTCGTTGTGCAGCTAGCAAGTTTTACTCGCTGGCCGGCTGCCTGGAGGAGCGACGGACGGTCATATCCAATGAATGTTCAGGATGATAACTTTGCTTTAAGAAACGTGATTCTTGAATAATGAACGGCACCTTTGTGGACACGCGGTATATCTGCGACACGTGTATCCATATCGCAGCGGTTCTTAACATTTACTGCAGCCTTGCGCCCCTTTGGTTCTCAATCGTAAAAAAAAAAGTTACAATGTTATAAAATATGTAGTGGGTTCTACGGAGGCACATACTTGAACTTGGAGGCAACACGTTTATTACACAACCCCAAAAGCGTAACGACATAACGTAACAACGGGTAATTATACCACGACGGGGTAACTACAGAACTGGGTCAGTCAGCCAACACACTGCCTGACCCACGATGCCGAGCGTGATGACAGAAGACCGAGGATCGAAGAGACGTAGCACCGACGGGCTCCATTCCAGCAGACAGCCGTGATTGCTCTCGGGACCTCCCTTTCATGCTCCCGAGCGTGGCCTCGCCCCGCCTTCGGCCACGCCCCCTTCTGGATCTCACCAGAAGGTTCTCGACCGAGCATCACGTGTCCCTCAAGCCCCCTTTATTGGGCCCCCTCGCTACCCTGTGCCGGTCACGTACCCTCTCGGGTTCACCCAGACTGTCACGTCCTTACTTGCCCTCTTTCTGACCGTCACCAGAACCATGGCCCCTAGGGCCCGCTTCCATGCCATACCTCGACTCTGGTGCCAGAGAGAGGCTCAAGACGCACAGTTCCACTCTTGTGACAGGAGCTGGCGCTAACGCTATAGTGACTCCATTTACGTAACTACAAATACATAGGTTTTGATGAAACAAAGTCGTTGTTGTACTTATGTGTTTCCGATGATTAACCTTAAAACAAGTTTGGCCACATCTCGCACCCCCGCACCTCCAGGGGCTGCGTGCACCCCAGGTTAAGAACCACTGCTGTCGAGGAACAGCCGCGACAGTACTGACCGACATCAGGGCGGAGTGATGCGAGGAACAGCGCCGTTCAGACGCCCCTCGTGCACAAGGTTCCAGTGAGGAGCTGAACACATCGCCGATGCTGCAGCCCCTTGCATCGACTCAACGGTCGCCGCGTTGCGCGGCGCTTTTAGGTGCGCTTCCGCGGCCGTCTGGAACGCTCTTCCTGCCCGATATTAGTAGATGCGTAACTACCACTGGGGGGGGGGGGGCAGGGGGTGCCTTGCCCCCCCCTTCCCCGCACAACCCCCCTCTGCCCCTCCCCTCGGTGGCCAACGCTACGAGATGGGGCCCCCCTCGACAACCACCATGTGATATGTTTTCAACAACAGTGTCAAAAGAACCCAGACGCATGTAATGATGTTATTCGGCAAGAGGAGCCGCGATATGTCCTCGCCTTTGGCGCGACCGTGTGAGACAAATCAAATATTGAGGCCCCAGCTGACCGATGGCTGCAACCCTCGGAGCTGGTAGTGGAGTCACTTCGACACTGGGTGTTAGGAAGTGGAGTCACTTCGACACTGGGTGTTAGGAAGTGGAGTCACTTCGACACTGGGTGATAGGAAGTGGAGTCACTTCGACACTGGGTGTTAGGAAGTGGAGTCACTTCGACACTGGGTGTTAGGAAGTGGAGTCACTTCGACACTGGGTGATAGGAAGTGGAGTCACTTCGACACTGGGTGATAGGAAGTGGAGTCACTTCGACACTGGGTGTTAGGAAGTGGAGTCACTTCGACACTGGGTGTTAGGAAGCCACTGGAGCTATGCACTTTAAAAATCTAGATTGAAAACTCGTTTCTCCAGAACTGCTGCACGCGTTTAATTTGTTGTCCTTCCACCGCACCTCCCGTTGGCACGGTTGGCGACGTACGGTGCGAAAGAAGTTCAACGCGCGTACAACTCGCGACAGACGTGGCAGCGCTACAAAGACATCGCTACAGAAAAAAAAAGACGCAATCAAAGCCAGGCGGCGACTGAAGGAGGGTCCCCTTTGAAGATCCCCTCCGTGGGCTGTGGGCGTTCGTGGCGGCGAAGGCTCAAAATCCACACGGACGGGCGGATGGACCGACACGAGACGTTCCCCCCACCCAACCACCCACCCTTTGAGCTCAAACAATGTTGCTCAATTGGATGAAACGCATGTTGGCTCCTTTCATGTAGAAGCCACACGCAGCCGCCGGTCCCCACGGGTGTTTCCCCCCCCCACACACCCCACACACACACACCCCACACACACACACCCCACACACACACCCCCCACACACACACCCCCCACACACCCCCATACCCCCCCCCCCACACACACCCCCCAATATAAGAGGCAACGGGAAGGCGATAATTTCCACGCGTGTGCCAGGGCCGCGCGCGCCGCGGAAGACTCGGACGCGTAGGATCGACGGCAGCGAGCCGGGCGGTCCAAACAAACAAGCACGAGAGAAAACCCGGAGAAAAAGCGACGCGCTCGTCGACTCGACCACGTTCGCGTCGTCGTTCCGTCTGTCCGTCTCTCCGTCGTTCCGTCTGTCGTTCCGTCTGTCCGTCTGTCCGTCGTTCCGTCTGTCCGCGTCCTCGCTGCAGCGAGAGGGCGCGCGGCGGTCCGAGGCACCGGAGGAGCGCGCGAGACGGCCCCGCGGTGAAACTTTCGGCGGCGCGAGAAGTCGACGCCGACTCTTGACGCCACGGTGGTGTCAGTTACGCGCTTAATACATTTGATCATTATTATAATTATTCTTATTGGTTAAAAAAAAAAGATTTACCAACTGCAATTATTATTGTTTTTCATTAGTTTAATCACCGGCAATAATTTTTTTTACATTTTTTTGTTACACAAACGGAAATTATTATTGTTGTTGTTGTTTTTCATTTGTTTACCGACGGCAAATTTTTTGTTGTTTTACAATCGGCAATCAACGTCGGCCGCGATGCACGCGAGGGCCGCCCCCACGTCCAGCATGGTGGTGACTCCCCACAGCATCCCCCAGTTCTTCATCCCGCACGCAGCGAACACAGCAGCAGCGGCAAGCGAGCAGCGGTCCGAGAAGCCGCGCGAACACCCCAACCCCGAGCGCACCAGAAGAGCCGTCGCCCTCTCCTCCTCCCCCGCCTCTTCCACCCACGACCTCCAGGGCACCCGGCTCACCGACAAGGCGGAGGCCACCGGCCACGACTGGGCCTCCTCCGCGAGCGCCCTCGCGCCCCTCGACGTCACGGAGGCCACGTCCCCGCTCCCGCACCTGCCCCGCATCACCACTCCCTACGGCTTCCAGACGCTGGCGCACAGCCCCAACACGCGGCGCAAGGAGTCGTTGTTTTTCGAGCCGGGCGGCGGCGGCGGCGGCTCCTCTCCCGGTGCAGCGGACGCAGCCCTCCTCCTGCGGTCCATGACGCTGCTGCGCGCCGGTGGCTCCCGCGCGCGCAGCCGCTCCGCGAGCCCTCGCCCGTCCGCCTCGAGGCGCGCTCCCGGTACGGGCGGGGCAGCCGGCGGCGGCGGCGGCGGTGGTCACCTCCGGGAGGAGCCGGCGTCGCTGAGCGCGCGCGCGATGTCGTGCGAGGTGCTGCACGGCGACGCCGCCTCCTGCGGGGTTCATTTCGACGCCCTTGCCGGCAGCGCCGGCGGCGTGCCACTGATCACCGTGTCCCGGCCGGACGGAGGCCCCCAGGTGGCGGGGCCCGAGGCAAAGAAAGGCGCTGGGAAGCTTCACCTGCGGGGAATCATCCGCAGGCACATCCCCGGGCTGAGGCTCTCCAGGTCGCCGGGCTCGTTCAAGGCGTCGCCCTCCGCCACCGGTAACGCATGAACGTCAAAGAAGTCACCGTGGCCAAAGGCGTTGATGCCGCCGCCACCACCACCACCAATTGCCACCACCACCACCAATTGCCACCACCACCACCAATTGCCACCACCACCACCAATTGCCACCACCGCATCTCATCGCCAACCGCGTTCGGCCCTCTGCTGCTCCACCAAAGGGGGACAGGGCAGCGACCTCCGACATCTGCCCCGAGAGTGTCATCCCACCATCTGGCGTGAGCAGTCGACGTGCAATAAAGAACGTGGTTTTATTGTCACGACTGCCGCTGCGATGGCTGCTTATTGATTCGTCAATAATCGATCAGTTCGAGCGACTGAAGGCGTTCTATTGACACAAAACGACCGTAGCTTGCGCAGTGTTTTCTTTGTCAACGACGATTTCAAATGTAAACGCGGGCCTCGGATGCACACTCGTTTTAGGAGCGGGTGGGAAGCATTGCGTGTTAAGGAAAATGTAAGGACAACTCAGTTCTGTCTCTCCACGTGCAGATTAAATATGTTATAGTCTATCGCCCTACCTGTACAGGATATGACTGTCCAGAGCAATATTGTCCGGCTGCATTTGCTTAAACAGAGAAAGTCTGAACCGTTTTGACAGTCAGCCTTGTTTCAACAAAGCCTGTTTCAACAAGCCCGACTTCTGCTGATGAGACCCAGAAGATTGAAACCGGCCCAGAGTTTTGCTTGCTTAAATAAATCCTGCCGGGTAATATTGGCCCGGATCACCAATACGTTGGCAGACTCGAGTACAGTGTTTGGATTCGTCCTGCACTTGTTAAAATTGTCTCAAATGATACTTTGCCTTTTGCTAGAGGTGAATAAATATTGATTCTTAAGCTCATAATTACATGCATCTAAACACGTCCGAATCGATGTTTTTTGTTCAATATATTTGTTGATGTCTGTAATTGGTTCACGTGATCCCTGCAGCCCCTTGTGGCCGCTACATTTACCACAATGTAAAGAAAAAAACCCAATTGATTCTTGAATCGAATCACAATACTGAATTGTGGCGATCCATAATATCGCCGAGTAGGCGAATAATCACGCACATTCAGAGAGTCACAACAGTCTGAAAATATGATATTAATGCGATGCACAGAATATAATAATTATTACAATGTACAGTGTCAGTCATGGGGGTTGTTTGACCATACTTCATCACGCTGGCCAGAGCGGGTTGGTGAAGGGAGTGTGAGAAGGGCTCGGTATTGCTCGCCACTGATGGTGGCCGTGGCTGGGAATTTAACTCGGGTCACGCGGTTCACACCGCAGTGCGCTGCGTTCAAACCACCCCGCACAAAATACAATTCTTGAAACGTATCCATGACATTCCGAGAATTCTGTGTACCGCATGAGACGCAAATTGTTCTCTTGGTTAAACATTTCAATCGCCAACCAGGACTATTATTGTTATTCTCCGTACATTCAGTTCGCCCTAGAACGTCTCCCGCCTTAGATCTTTTGCCCGCGAGTGCATCGTGCGTTGGAGATAATATTGAAGAAAAAATGTGATCCATTTCCCCCAAATGTAATGTCGATTGCGCTGTTGGAATCGCATCACGAGACGATGAGAGCCCATTCGGATCTCTCGCGGAACACTGCAACCCTTCGTTTAAGAAAACGGCCCACGGAAATGGCTATCACAGAGCTACCTCTGAGATCTCCTTTCAGGGCCCTCAGGTTCGCACAGTAGGCGGCGGCACTTTCCCACCCGCTCCGAAATGCGAGGGTGATGTGCGTCGCGTTGCAGTCAAACCGATATTTGGAACTCAAATAAAATGCGGAACCGAATTTGATCTGATATATTTTTTGTGTTGTGGTCCGGTCGAAAACAACAACTCGCTACACTTGCTGCGCTGCCCCGAAATCGGTCCTCGCAAAATGACTTTGCCCTAACGGCCTGCATTTGTTTTAGTCTCATGCGATATACAGAGTCGCCAAGGCAATCCAACCAGTGTAATCATAGACGGTTTACCTTCATCTGAACTCGACTCCTCCGCCGTGCCGGCTCAGCGTTCCGACCTTCTGACCTCTGAGCCACCAGGCCACCTTCGTCTTGCCGGCAATGTTTAGCGAACGTGTGTCAACACCCCATGATTATATTTAACAACAGCACGGAAAATGTTGTTTACCCATTTAAACAGACTCTTCCGGCAATGGCTGTTCCGGGAGGTGGGGTACAAGGTTAGGTTTATTGAAAGAAAAAAAACACTTGACTATGGAACACAAGGCTAAGCCCCCTCCACACAGCCAGCAGGTGACCCACAATTAACCCGGTGTAGCATTGCTATTCTGAATACTCACAGAATATCGCACGGAATGTTTGATATATATATTTTTTTATGTTGGGGATATAGCGTGTTCATTAGATCTTTGTCTAACAGTCGGCACGCGGCGACAACACGATGTACACGCCTGAAGGATCTCGGGAGTGAAGGAGGGTTGAAGCTGGTTGGTGCTTGGATGGGTAACCACCAGCACCAGTGCAGGAGATTGGCAGTGCAGCAATTGGGTTTTTGGTCCAGAGTTCGTTTCGGTCCAGTGTCCTCCCGCATGCCAAAAAGCTCGTTAATGGGATTGGTCAATCCATCAGACTGCAGGAGCCTACTGAAGCAGTCTTGGGAATCAATGAGGTTTTCCTGGGTGTTATACATTTCATTATCAATAGAATACAACCCATACGTAGTTGTTATTATAAAACCAAACGTACAGGATGATATCACATACACGCTAACCAATATAATGTGTAAGTCAATGAGTCGCACGCGGCTGCAAAGCCGCAGGTTTGCCGACCCCTGAGCTAGATAATTGAAATGTACAAATGTGCAGCCCTTTGTCAATCCCGTATTGACGAGGGGCTTCCCACGTTGCGTCGGTCACGGGGGAAATTTTGGCCATACTTCACCACGCCGGTCGGTGCAGGTTTGGTGTAGGCGTCGGTGGCCCAGGGCCGGTGCAGCTATCACTCACCACCGATGTTGGCCGGGAACTGGGAATCGAACTGAGGTGGCCGGCTTCATTTCCACTGCACCTCCACTTTACCCCAGGTCTGTGCGACAGGAATTAATTCGCTATAAGTTGATCCTGACAATGCTCAACGGGGTTTTTTGTTTGTTTGTAATGTATGCTAATTAGATTGTAATGATATGCCAATTATAATGACATGCCACGCATATTATAAACGCGCGATAATTCGATTGCAATGGCATGCGTACGTACATTGAACCCGATTGAACGAGCGGTAGCACTAATTATCGCACGCAAACGAGACCATTAAGAATCGAGTCTTGAAATGTTGTCTGAACTCTGAGATCGGATTCTGCAAGGTGTATTGTGAAGTAAAATACAATTAACATCTTACGGGAGGGAGCGGTGGGACAGTGGTTAGCCCACTGCAATACTAATCCGAGTTGAATTTCAGAATATGACGAGGCACGGTGAAGTATGGTTAAACAATCTCCCACGACCGACCACGGTGTGCGAAGGAGACCTTTCATCCAACAGTAGCCAATGGCTGTAAATTATCATTATATTTGTTTTCTTTATTATCATGATTATAACGCGCGGTGTGTGCCAAGCCGAGTACATGGCCCCCAAGCCCACGTCATTATAATTGCTGCGTTGACCGACGATCACTCGTTGCTCTGGATGACGAAGGCTTGAGAAACGTAAAACATCCGCTGGTTACGCCCGCTCGCCGCGAGACATTCGCGAGCGAATTTTAATTTGCGAATGCCCGCGGTGGGGCCCTGTGCGGAGGAGAATCGTTGTCGGGACGCCCGTGTTTACCGACCCTGCGTTGCGGGGGCGGGGGCGAGCGCCCTTCATTAGCGCGCCGCCGTGTGATCCTTTGTGTCCCGGTAATTAAGAGCGGGCGCCACGCACCCACAACATCATCATCATCCATAATATTGATTTTTTTTCGTGGTTGGATCACGTAAATATAAATGAGGCGTGTTCTGTTTACGTGACAAACATTACTAATTGGCTGCGTCGGGTGGTGGCGTGTTTAACGACACATTTATATATTTACGCGATCTAACCCAAAAAAACCCTGTATTATGGATATTGGTCGCGAAAGCTTGCTTCTTGTTAAATCATCATCATCCACCCTCTTCCTCCCTTTGCTGCCACTGCCGCTGCTGTCCCGATCCCCCTCCTGTGATCTCGATGATGGTGGTGTCACCCAACCTAGAATCTCACCCAGATCCAGAAGAACGCGGTTGCTGTCTCAATCCCCGTTCGGATTTCGCTGCTGCTGCAGCTGCCACCCATCCCGTGACGATCTCACCCAGATCCAGAAGAACGCTTTCACTGCAGCTGTCCGTACAGCAACAAATTGTGACGAGGCAATATAGAAGACTTTTAAGCCGAATATTTCCAGGACGGCTTCCAGACTACGGGGCCATTTAGCAATTGGGGCACATTGGCTATTCACACCTGAGCTTCTAGGGAGGATGCAATTAATTAATTCCGCGAACCTGTCGTCCGAACCTCGTATTGTACTGACATGTATGAAAAAGAGCCTCATAAGCTCACCGGATTTCTCCAGGATAAATAAAGATTCTAATTCAGAAGAGGGCGGCTGCACTCAGCCCCAACATCATTCCCAGTAACGTCCGGAAAGACGCAGCAGGCAAGCATGTTCACTGCAATTAAAACTTTATTATTCCGAGTTAACACACAGCAAAAAGCAGGGACATTGATGCGTTGTGAAGTAAATATACAGTAAATATACAGTATACGTGCAAAACTGGCTTTGAATAAAACACTTTGTTGTTCTTGAAATGTTCCCGCGATGTTCCACGGATCGACGATTCAGAGCCGGAACGTGAAGGACTCTCGGCTGTCCAGCCTGGTGTGCCACGTCGCCACCACCACGACCATCGCCATCACCATCACCACCACGACCACCATCACTACCATCACCACCATCCCCACCACCACCCATGACATCACCACCTCCACCATCGTCCCAACCACCACCACCGCCATACGACGTGTAACCAATGTGCAAGATTCAAACGATACCAACCCTGCTCCTCGAGACCGCGTTTTGCACCGAGCAGCAGTCTAAAGGCTAAACTATCGACGGCTGTCAGAATAATCGATAAATAGCATCGAGTGTTAGGACTGCACGTGGAAACACGACCGAAAAAAGCTCAAAACGCAAGGGGTCAAGTCGCTCGCAACGGGGGTGGGGGATACATCGCCAAGCAATCGTGCACAATTTTGTCATGGAGGGGATGCCAACTAGCGTTTGCAAATTTTTTTGGTGGGAGGGTGGAGGTGGGGGGGCTTAACAAAGATAAAAGTTCTAGATTTGTTGCTGGGGGGCCCGATGTTCCACTTTTGTGTCGCCGTCCCCAATCGATCAAACCGGGGGTTTCTACAACTCCCGGTTACGCTCGAGGCAGCACGGCGGGTCCCCCTTGCCGCGTCTCTGCCGATCTGCCGCGTCCAGACACAAAACCAGGTTTGCCCCACGCTGCGCCCGCCTGACGATGGGGCCGGCGTGCGGAGTAGTGTGCCACGCGACGTGGAGCCAACCCGTTTCAATCAAGACGGGAGACGGTTTTCTCGTGCGTTTGCGAGTCTCAACGAGGCCCTCTGATATATATACGCGCGCGCGTATATATCGGTGCCGGAAAGACAAAGGTGGCCGGGGCGTGGGGCTGGCCACACCACCCCCCCCCCTCGTGCGCCGCGCTCTCCACCAGTGGATCATCATGAACACCATCTGCCCCAATGGCCTGATGCGAGTCTCTTTTTCAGGAGGGATGTTTGTCCGGAAGAAATTAAATTGCGTGCTTTTTTTTTGTCTAGGGGGAGGAACCTGCAGGACCACATGTGAAAAATAGCTTCACAGCTCATCGGATTTCCCGAGGATAAATATTCTGATTCTGAAGCCCATGCAGAACAGGTGGAGAACATAAAAACTAAACGGAGAAAGGGCATCCCAAGTTGGAAATCGAACTTTGGTCCTTTTTGCTGTCAGGCAACAAGTGCTGCCACTGCCCCCACCTGACACACGCCACCTTGTGTACGTGTGTCCCGCGTGACGTAGAACCCCGTTTTGAAAGGACAACCGTACCAACACAATCGTGTTCAAACATTCACCTTCACACCTCTGCCGCCACGAGGGGAACCCAAGTGCCTGACCTGGGGTTCGTGCGCAAAAGGCCGAGACCTATAAACATATCGTCTTTTTACACGGTCATGTGACCGCCGGCTGCCATCTTGGGCTGCCACCAACTGCTGGGTATTTAACGCCCCGCATCGATTCGTCGACTCAAGACCGATTATTTGTTGCTCCCGATATGCACGCAAGAATGAGTTACCTACCTATAATTGATATAAATAGAACAAAACAATGTATATTTTTAAATTATATTGCTCGCGTACATTGAGGCTTATGGAACAAACAAGATAGAAGATGCGACCGACATTGACAATGTAGACGAGATAGTACATAAATGATGCAGTGGTTGAAATTCCACATTATTGTGACGGGTGCCAGGGAAGAAGTGGGCGGGGCCAGGGAAGGATTGGGCGAGGCTAGGGTAAGAGTGGGCGGGGCTAGGGTAGTAGTGGGCAGGGCCAGGGAAGCAGTGGGAGGGGCCAGGATAGGGGTGGGCGGGGATAGTTGGGGTGAGGCTTCTTGGGGACAACCAGAATTCCTCAGGTTGTGCAAGAGCGCAGAAAGGTGATCACCACATCTACGCCTCGATATAAGCAACGAAACAGTTTTGACTACTCCACAAATCTGGCTGTCGCCTGATGAAGCTAGTTATAATTACTGGCGAAACATCTTACTCAGATTGTAAATGTTGTGGCTTGGCTCTCCAACACACCGGTGTGCTGTACTAGTGACGAATTGGCCACGTTCTGTTTACGTGACAGCCCTTACTAGTTGGCTGTGTCGGGTGGTGGTGGGTTTTAACGACACATTTATATATTTACGCGATCTAACCCAAAAACCTCTATTATGGGCAATATAATAGATTAAGCGGTCGTGAACCAAATTGTCCAGAGACATTGGTGGGAATTCCACGTTTCTATGACAGATACGAGTATGTATCCAAGCAGACAAACGATTCTGCACCGCATTCAGCCAGGCTTCCCTGCATAAACGTTGACATCGCCTGCCTTGCAGGAGACGCAACGCGCGCGCCGGCGGATAGAGAACCGGAGCCCTCTAAACCCCCCCCTCACCACCCCCCAAAACCACGGTTAAGTGCACAGCGGATGAGAGGAATTCCACCGGACGAACGAATCAGCGACGCCGCCGCCGCCGCCGCCGCCATGGTCCTCAACTGTCGTCGTCGTCGTCGCTGTTCTGCTCGTGACCGCACCCCGAGTGGTAGGCGTCGGCGAGCGAGCGCAGGCCGTGCAGCGCCTCCGGCAACTCGCCGGGCTCCGTGCCGGCCGCCAGCAGCCCCGGCAGGCGGCGCTCGTCCACGAGGGCCAGCTCCCGGCACAGCGCCAGCAGCGACGTGCGCAGCGCCGTCCCGGACTGCGTGGCCGTCAGCACGGGGACGCTCGACACGGCTGGGCACGGCCAGCGAGGGAGGCAGGGAGGGAGGGAGGAGCGCCGTTAGCGAGCGCCCGTTCGGATCGGCCTGGTGAATGCGGGGGCCGGTGTGGCCGACGCCGCGTCCGGCTGCCTTTGTCTCCACCGGTGCCGATGTTTACACTGTGCACCGGGTACTCATTTCGTGCCGAGTTAACCTCGGCGAGGCCTGGGATTGGTTCAGATGATCACCGCTGACGTTGGCCGTGGCCGGGAATAGAAGTTGGGTCGCCGGGTTCGTAGCGCGGTGCTCTAAACACTACGCCGCCGGTTCACCCTACCCTACACACAAGGCCCAAAGATTTCGATTTAAAGCTTTCGTGACTGCAAGGATTCATCTTCTTTGGTTCTTTCGGTAAAGTCACGTGACTTTACCGAAAGAACCAAAGAAGATGAAGGCCAAAGATCCCATATAGCCTATGTCAGCCTGTTGGGACAAGTGCTATTCGTGAGCACTTCACACAAAGACAAGGATCCCTCGTACAGCCTTAGCAGGCTGTTGGGGAAAGTTCTGTTAGCGAGTGGCACCTATGTAGGCTGGCACGACACACGAATGGGGTGGACGGCCAGAACCACACCTGGCCGCCTTTGTGCGTGTGCTTGCGCTTTGTTTTTTTTCGTGTGGAGCAGTGGTGCAGTGAGTAGCGCGCTGCGCTACGAACCCGGCGACCCGAGGTCGATTCCTGCTCATTTGAGTGGATCCTAGGGGGGGCCCCATGACCGTCTCAGACATTCGCCACCAATGTCGGCCGTGACCAGGAATCGAACTCGGGTCGCCGGGCTCGTAGCGCAGTAAGTTAACAGCTGCAATAGCGCACTTTACACACGCACTTTACACACGCACTTTACACACGCACGTCGGCACGCACGCACGCACGCACGCCTGCGCTGTGCCTGTCCACTCGCCCCCCTCGCCCGCTCACCTTCCTCCATCTTCCTCCTGCTGTCGGTGAGGTAGCCGCTCCTGTCCACAGTCGGAGCGAAGATGTCGGGGAACGGAGCGGCGGCGCTCATCGGAGCCTGCAGCAGCTGCACGGCGCTGGGGAGAGATCCGCCGTCATTCCATCGATCAGCCGCGATTATCAGGACCGGGCGCACAGGGCGGCGAGGTGATAACTACCTCGCCTGGTATACACACAGGAAGGTCGCGTGGCTTCCGATCCCGTAGATTTTTTTTTTCCGGTTCTTCCAGGTTTTTCCATCTCCACATTGAGAATCATCCTGCGCTTAAGAGTATGTGGCCGCTATGAATGCCCACGTAATAAAGCCACTTCGTTGGGCTATCATTTGTGGCGAAAAAGAGCGACACAGAGCTCAGTGGGCCTTACCAGAAAAAAATTACATTAGTTTAGTTTAGACTCGCCAACTCAGGTGCAGGGGCCAGTGGAGCCGGGGAGGGGTGCTGGCGGCGTTACCTGGGCGCGTGGGGGTACAACCCGTGCAGGTAAGCGGACATCACGTCTTGCCCCGTCGAGCACCTGTACAGCGGCGAGTCCTTCGTGCTCCCTCGCTGCGAGCTGCCGGGAAGAGAAGTGTCGGCGCGATCGGTACGCACGTCCGGCGGCTGCCGACGCGTACAGACGGGCCCGGCCACGTACGGCCATGAGCAGGCAAACTCAGATGGACCCAAGCATAGGTCCATCCATGCACAGCTAGACCTACTGCTAAAGCCAGAAACTCATGGTTAAACCCAGGACCCACGCGGCACACGCAGCCCACGCAGCACACACAGTACACACAGCACACACAGCACACACAGTACACACAGCACACACAGCACACGCAGCACACACAGTACACACAGCACACACAGCACACGTAGTACACGTAGTACACACAGCACACACAGCACACGTAGTACACACAGTACACATAGTACACACAGCACACACAGCACACGTAGTACACACAGCACACAGCACACACAGCACACACAGCACACGCAGCACACGTAGGACACACAGCACACAGCACACACAGCACACACAGCACACACAGCACACGTAGCACACACAGCACACAGCACACACAGCACACACAGCACACGCAGCACACGTAGGACACACAGCACACACACAGCACACATGCAGCACACAGCACACACAGTACACGCAGCACACACAGCACACGTAGCACACGTAGCACACACAGTACACACAGCACACGCAGGTTCCAGGCGCCGCTCCTCCTACCCGGCGGTGTGCCGCGCGGCGGGCACCCCACGCAGCACCACGGACTGGGCGAAGCAGCACGGCGCGGGCGCCGAGGCCGAGGCCACCGGCGCCGTGCCTGGTGCGAGCGAGCACCAGGGCGGGGCGGCGCCCAGCGCCCGCAAGGCGTCGGGGAGGCTCTCTCCGGCGTGCAGTGGGAACGGCAGCGCCAGCGAAGTCATCGCCACCTGCGCACGCCGGCGTCGCGCGCTCCCCGTTAGCGGCGGCCTCGAAAGACGCGGGCGTTGCGTCGGGTGGCTGTGGCGGGCAGGTGCGGGCGGGCACGGGCGCGGTGGGGCTGTGTGGCAAGACGGCGTGCTGGGAGCGGCGTGGCGATATTGCGTGGCGGGCCAATTATGGTGAGGCGGCGCGGCGGGGCGGCGTGGTGGGGCGGTGTGGCGAGACTTTGTGGTGGGGCGGCGTGGTGGGGTGGTGTGGTGGGGCGGTGTGGTGGGGCGGTGTGGCGAGACTTTGTGGTGGGGCGGTGTCGCGAGACTTTGTGGTGGGGCGGTGTGGTGGGGCGGTGTGGTGGGGCGGTGTGGCGAGGCGGTTATGGTGAGTTGGTGTGGCGGGCAGCTGCTGCCGCGTAGTCCTGCTACGGACGGGTCAAGCGCTGTGGGCCCGGTTGGGGACGGGCAGCGATGTGGGGGTGGTGGTGCCGTGTGGGGGGGGGGTGGGGGGGTTGGGGGTGGAGGGGGGGTTGGGGGTGAGGGAGGGTTAGGGGTGAGGGGGTGTGAGGGGGGTGAGGGGGGGTTGGAGGTGAGGAGGGGGGGGGGTTGGGGGTGAGGGGGTGTGAGGGGGGTTGGGGGTGAGGGGGGTGAGGGGTGTGAGGGGGGTTGGGGGGTGCTCCTCCTGCCTTGCGGCCGCCGCCGCTGAGCGAGTCGGCGAACTCGGAGAGCGACGTGAGGCGCGAGTGCGTGCGGTACGGCAGGCTGCTCGTGCCCACCGCCGCCGCCAGCACCGCGCTGCTGTGGTAGTGCAGCTCAGCCTGCCGCACAAAAACAAAGGTAGCCCCCCCCCCCGCCGTTTAGAGCCTTTAACAGACCGTCGGGGCAAGTACCGTGAAAGAGCAGCACCAGTGAAGGCCGGCACGGCGCGCGAGGGGGTGGTGTGGCCGACGCCACGCCCGGCCGCCTTTGTCTCCCCGGTGCCGGTGTTTACGCACGGCACCGGGTACTCATTTCGGGCCGCGTCGACTTCGGCGAGGCCCGGGATCGGTTCGGATAATTGTCACCGATGTTGGCCCGCTCACGAGCGGGAATCGAACTCGGGTTCACCGGCTGCGGAGGCGCGGCGCGTTAAACGTCGCGGGGACCCCGAGGCTCACGTCGTAGTGCAGGTCGGGGAAGACGACGGGCGGCGAAGGCCGACGGCTCAGCACCGAGCTCACGGACAGCGGGAGCAGCACGGAGGCGGTGTCCACGAGGCGAGCCATGCCCAGCGCGTAGTTCACCAGCCGGTAGACGCTCCTCAGCGGGCTCTGCCGGCGGGCGCGAGGGGAAAGAGAGAGGGGGCACAGCGGGGGGGGGGGACGGACCGTGATGTCCGGGATCGATTCACCGAGGTCCGACACGGCCCGCCCAGCGGTGATCCCTTGTCCACACACTCTTTAGGACCGCTTTTTGCGTTTAGTTTTGCTGTCCCTCCCCGTCACCTCCGCCGCTTAGCGCGGTTGGCTACGTACGGTGCGAAAGAAGTTCAACAAAAGTACACGCACTGGGAACCACAGCGCCCTAAGCGCCCTAACCCCCGCCGGGGCGAGCCAGCGGTACACGACCGGGGATTATCCCGGAAATTTTCTATTTCCCCGCCCCGATGAGGGCGCCGTCCCGGTCGCTCACCAGCGCGGGCGGGGCCGGCGGCACGAGCCCCCAGACGAGGACGCCCTTGGTGCCGTACTCGTCGCGCAGACGCTCGACGGCGCGCGCTCCCAGCCCCGAGAATCCGTCGTGGAGGTCGCACAGCAGCTGGAAGCCCTGCAGCGAGTCGCACTCCTCCGTGAAAAAGTGCAGCCGGTCCTCCAGGTCGTCCGCCACGGGGGGCGAGCGCAGCAGCAGCGAGTCGCCCAGGCCGAACACGTCGAAGCGGTCCACGTCCCTGGAGGGACGGCACGCGGGGGGGGGGAAGGGGGGGGGGGCGAGAGCCCGACAATCCAGTCGTCGTTATCGTCGTCACCGTCATCTTCAGCTAAGGTCAATCCACTGCTGGATGAAGGGGTTAGTGATGCTAATGTTGGCATAAAACTATCACGTGGCCTAACCTAGATTTATTGTCTGATCATTCAGACAATAAATCTAGATTGAAAACTCATACCTTTCAAACAGATTGTTTTTGTTTACTTCATTTTCCTTCCCCCGCACCTCCAATTTAGCACCGATAGATTCCCATCCTGCCTCCGGTTCGACAAGCTTTAGTGTTCCAGCCACAGGACGGTCTGCGAGTAGCGGAATTGTCTGCGAGCCAAGGAACGGGCGCCCCTACCCATCGCTGGTGTGGTCATTGATGAGCGAGACGGAGCGCGGGTGGAGGTGCAGTCGCAGGAAGTCGGACCAGACCTCGACGCCCTCCTCCAGGTGGTACACCTTCTGCGCCGGCGGCTCTGCGCTACCCGCCGGGGCATCTGGGAAACGGAGGAACAGCCGCCGCCGCCGTGAGGTTGCTATCTAGAGTCGTCCCCCGCGGTGGCTTGTCAGGGACGAGTTAGAAGCTAACGCACGTATTAGACGCATACGTAAGGTTACAACGGAATGTACATAGGCATTTCAAGAAATATAAAATCCTGCCAAAAGCATCTTTGATTCGCATTTGCCGTCCCGTCGTGCTGTGAACATTCCATTTATTTTTTATTGCGACAAAACGCGAGCACGGTACAATACGCAGATCGATGTTGGCGGTGGAGGGGGGGGGGGGGTCAGAAACTCTGAATAAATTCAAATTCGGCATGATGGGACCATACGTAGTGGGGAGGGGGAGTTGGACCCAACCAAGTGGGGACTATGCGTAAGGGGGGGGTGAAGATTTATATGGGGGGGGGGGGGGTGGGGGAGTTGGACCCAACCAAGTGGGGACTATGCGTAAGGGGGGGGGGGTGAAGATTTATATGGGGGGAGGGGAGAGGTATACAGGAGCTTGAGGGTTCGACCCCGACCCCTGTATATTTGGGAGTTTGCATGTTCTCCCCGTGGTCGGGTGGATTTTTCTCCGGGTCCTCCGGTTTTTCCCTCCACATTTAGAATCAAGATCACGTGTTTAGAGTGTATTGGCTGCTGCTGTAAATCTCCACACAATAGGCCACTTCGTTGGGGCTATCATTTGTGGCCAGGTCGCTTCTGAAAAAGATCTACGAAGCTCAGTGGGCCTTGCCTGATAATAGTTTAGTTTGGAGGTCGGGGGGGGATATTAAATTGATTTCAAGGTTCTATACTGCATAGTGCGGTATCGAATATTCGGCACCACGCAGATGGACACGCTGTCTATCTGTGTAACGCACGTAGACGGGCATCATCACACTGGGAGAGTGCGTGCGTATCACGCAGAGAGAGAGAGACAGGGTGTCGCGTACTTTTAGTCTCCGGTTTGGGCGCATTAGAGCAGCTGGCTCTCGTCCGCTTCTCCCACTCCTCCTGCGCACAGCAAGCACAGCGTTTTGGTTTTGTGGTTTCATTTCATTCTAATTGCATCCCAAGTTCTTATGGTAACCTCGCTCGATTCAAGAAACACGTGAGCCCAGTCCAATTGCGGCTGCGACGGCGCCGGTTGCTGCTGGTCGCTTGAAGTTTTGGGGCCTTTGGGCCTGCGCTCAGCTCAGTAACCGTAAAGTGAAAAAAGTGAAAAACAAAAGCTAAAGCATGCCGTGCCAGCGGTGACGCCGATTGGCGGCGGCCAGACTGATCTTGGCACTCATCTCGGTTGGCTACGTACAGCGTGAAAGAAGTTCAACATACAGTAAAACCTTGGATTGCGAGTAACTTGGTCTGCGAGTGTTTTGCAAGACGAGCAAATTTTTAAAATAAATATTAATTTGATAAAGGAGCGAGGGTCTTGCAATACGAGTAAGTACGTATACGCTTTGTCTGCCGAGCGTCACGTGATCACAACTGATATACGAGTGCTTTGATATACGAGTGCTTTGGACTACAAGCACGTTTCCGGAACGAATTATGCTCGCAATCCAAGGTTTTACTGTACATGCGAACACGTGGATTTTTTGAAAGAGCACGCCGCTTGGGTTTTTCTGTTTTTTTTTCCCTCCACATTTATAATCAACGTGCATTTACAAGAGCATTTGCCTTCTATCGATTTCCACACCACGACAATCCGCTTTCGTTGAGCGATCACTTGTGGGCAGGTCGCTTCCGCAAAGAGAGCTGCATAGCTCAGTGGGCCTTGCCTGGTAAAATATAAAATAGTTGAGTACCTCGATGACATCAAGGTCCTGCAGGAACGCGTTCCTGCTTGCGGGATCCGTCCTGTGCACCGAGACCTTGCCGCTCCTGCACGCGACGCACGGCAGGGGCGTCAGTCCGAGCGAGACGGCCTCAGGACGGTTAAAACTTCAGTCCCGGAAGGTGACGTCGTAGCGCTACTTCTGAGGTGACTTTGTCGCGCCTCTGTGTCCACGGCGTGCGACACGTGTTTTATACGCCGTGCTACAGTGAGGGGAAAAAAGTATTCGATCCCCCGCTGATTTTGTACGTTTGCCCACTGACGAAGAAATGATCGGTCTATCATTATTATAGTAGGTTTATTTGAACAGTGAGAGACAGAATAACAACAAAAATCCAGAAAAACGCATGTCAAAAATGTTATAAATTGATTTGCATTTTAATGAGGGAAATAAGTATTTGCCCCCCTCTCAATCAGAAAGATGTCTGGCTCCTAGGTGTCTTTTATACAGGTAACGAGCTGAGATTAGGAGCACACTCTTAAAGGGAGTGCTCCTAATCTCAGCTTGTTACCTGTATAAAAGACACCTGTCCATAGAAGCAATCAATCAATCAGATTCCAAACTCTCCACCATGGCCAAGACCAAAGAGCTCTCCAAGGATGTCAGGGAGAAGATTGTAGACCTACACAAGGCTGGAATGGGCTACAAGACCATTGCCAAGCAGCTTGGTGAGAAGGTGACAACAGTTGGTGCGATTATTCGCATATGGAAAAACACACAAAAGAACTGTCAATCTCCCTCGGCCTGGGGCTCCATGCAAGATCTCACTTCGTGGAGTTGCAATGATCATGAGAACGGTGAGGAATCAGCCCAGAACTACACGGGAGGATCTTGTCAATGATCTCAAGGCAGCTGAGACCATAGTAACACACTACGCCGTGAAGGACTGAAATCCTGCAGTGCCCGCAAGGTCCCCCTGCTCAAGAAAGCACATATATATATGCCCGTCTGAAGTTTGCCAATGAACATCTGAATGATTCAGAGGACAACTGGGTGAAAGTGTTGTGGTCAGATGAGACCAAAATGGAGCTCTTTTGCATCAACTCAACTCGCCGTGTTTGGAGGAGGAGGAATGCTGCCTATGACCCCAAGAACACTATCCCCACCGTCAAACATGGAGGTGGAAACATTATGCTTTGGAGGTGTTTTTCTGCCAAGAGGACAGGACAACTTCACCGCATCAAAGGGACGATGGACGGGGCCATATACCGTCAAATCTTGGGTGAGAACCTCCTTCCCTCAGCCAGGGCATTGTAAATGGGTCGTGGATGGGTATTCCAGCATGACAATGACCCAAAACACACGGCCAAGGCAACAAAGGAGTGGCTCAAGAAGAAGCACATTAAGGTCCTGGAGTGGCCTAGCCAATCTCCAGACCTTCATCCCACAGAAAATCTGTGGAGTGAGCTGAAGGTTCGAATTGCCAAACGTCAGCCTCGAAACCTTAATGACTTGGAGAAGTTCTGCAAAGAGGAGTGGGACAAAATCCCTCCTGAGATGTGTGCAAACCTGGTGTTCAATTACAAGAAACGTCTGACATCTGTGATTGCCAAAAAGGGTTTTACCACCAAGTACTAAGTCATGTTTTGCAGAGGGGTCAAATACTTATTCCCCTCATTGAAATGCAAATCAATTTTAACATTTTTGACATGCGTTTTTCTGGATTTTGTTGTTGTTATTCTGTCTTTCACTGTTCAAATAAACCTACCATTAAAATGATAGACTGATCATTTCTTTGTCAGTGGGCAAACGTACAAAATCAGCAGGGGATAAAGTACTTTTTCCCTCACTGTAAGCATATCCGTCGCACGTCTATCAAACCGAAACGTTTCAATTTTTCAGAGCAGGAATTTTGCCAAATTAAATGAAAAAACAAAATGAATTTCACGCGTTTAGCCATCAATGACCGGGCCAAGAACATAAACTCGCTGCGAGCGGGAACGTGGCTTAGTCAGCGGGCGACTGAAACCCAGATTCGAACACACTGCTCCGTGTGCAACAACGGTTCGTTCCGTGCGGGAACGATAATAAACGCGACCGAGAGCGTCGCCGCTCATTCATTCGCTCTCCGTTATCAGCAAACGCAGCGAGGCGCGGGGGAGAGCGCGCGCTTGGAAGTGCACCGAGAGAGACAGCGAGAGGACCCTCACGGATCGGAGAACATGCAACGTTAGAGGGGGTCACGCTGGCCGTTAAGGAAAGCAAGAGGGCCGGTGGTCGAGACTAAATGACGGCATCCAAAGGAGGGAAGGTGCCCGCTCAATCAATCAAACTTTATTTAACCCCTTCCCATTCCGATGACGTCCGTGTACGTCATCAGTTTTTCATTTTGTACAAAATGTTGCACATTGGAGAAATTGGTCCATATGTTATATATATGTACACTACGTCATCGAATAAATACCTAAAATTAAACAACTTTATCGGTACATCTTCAGGTTGGAAGACGTACCGAGGTTCCCACAAGACCATGGCGGGAAGGCGCATGGCAGTTTGGTGCCAGCTATGGGTTCGCTTCCGAATCCTACACCTGTATATTTAGGGTTTGCATGTCTCTCTCTCTCTCTGCGGTCGCGTGGATTTTTCTCCGGGTCCCCCGGTCGTTCCCTCCACATTTAGAATCAACGATACGCGTTTAAAGTATTTGGCTGCTATAACTTTCCACGCGATAAGCGACTTCGTTGAGCTATCATTTGCGGCCAGGATGTTTCTCAAAAAGAGCTGTTATAGCTCAGTGGGCCTTACCTGGTAAAATACAAATTAAACGTTTCGGTCATAGTTTAGGTGACCCCCAAACACAGAATGCCACACTCACCACGTGGAGGTGTTCTGGTCTGGGTGCTCGTACAGCACGCCCTGTTGCCTCAAGGAGCTTAAGTTGCCTAGACAACAACAACAACACATATACAACATTTAATAATGTAATTAATGATAATTCATTATCCAACAAAGTTTCAATGAGTCTGAATACTTAACAAATTTAAGACAATATATACAACAGGTCCACGCACGATCCCAATTGTGGTGGTGGCGATTACCGGACACTTGTGGAAAAGAGCTTCATAGCACATCAGATTCCTCCAGTAAAAATATTTCGATTGATACACACAATAGCCACTATGTTGAGATATCAATTGTGGCCAGGTCGCTTCTGAAAAAGAAGGTAATAGCTCAGTGGGCTTTACCTGGTAAGATAAAAAATAGTTTTAGTTATTTCAGCAATTTGTTTACCTTTCCTATACTTTTTACTCCTGCCGTGTTTTTTTTAATATTGTTTGGCGCTGTAACCTCCTGACCCCGTGCCACAAACGGACATGTGTGGAAAAAAGAGCTTCGCAGCTCATCAGATTCCCCCAGCGTAAATAAATAAGTCTGATTAATGAGGTGAGTCACCGGCAACCTCATTCGCTCCGACGCGCTGTCGAGCTCAACACGTCAACTCGCCCTCAACACGTTTCGGAGAACGCGTAACGTGACACAAATTTTGTGTTTGCTGCCTTTCGCGGCAGAACGCTTCAATATGGAAGCACGCTGAACGGACGCGAGCAGCGTTGAATAACGACCTCGCGAACCTCAAGCGAGGAACACGCCCGCTCGCGATGAACAACATTAATCATCACGCGCGCCTTATTTATCCACGCGGCCCTCCGCCGAGTCTCGACGCTCTTCGGCAGGAAGGCTCCTGGCATTGGGATATTCGGCCAAATCGATTCTTCGCGGATGGGAGTTTGGCGTTTTCTGGAGAGCCTGGAGAAAATTCACTGCACACAAACGGAGGAGGGGAGAAGGGGGGGGGGGGACGCTCGAACCTCCCGGGCTATCACGCAGCCTCGGCCTACAACGCGTGGTCCTACCAGGCAGTCTCCCTGGCAAGTACTCACCAGCATTGGTCCTAGGGCAGTGTTCTTCATTGTTGCAAAGCCCGAGGGCCCACTGGCGGCCCCGACAATACACAACAAATGTGAAAACACCACCCCCATCATCATCATCGTGCTGCTGTCAAACCCAACAATGGTTCAAATTTGTCACGCGGTCCTCACACTGACGATTTATGATCGGCGAAAATGCCTCCCCCCCCACCCCCTCTGAAAATTAGTGAAGAACGCTGTCGTAGGGTATAGTCTGGCAATAAAATAGGTGTTAAAATGTTAAAACGCCGAATCAGATATACCTTTCGCGAGGCATCGAGTCTGCATTAAGCAAACAAAAATGCTCTGATATATTACAATATGTGCATCATCTTTGAAACGGATTGGCCTACGCCAGAGACAGGATGGATAAGGGTGCACTCCACGTCAATGCTCCCCACCCTCACCAACCCTGCACCCACCCCCCCCCCCCACGTGTGGTTGAAAGTACAGGGCGGTCCAGATGTCTTGTGCTCCCACAATGAATTGACCTCCCCCCCCACCACAACATTTTTTCTCCCTTTACATAATTCATTTCTGTTTCAAATAAACTTTACTTACAAAAAAATATTACGTTTTTAGATAATTAAATGGGTGGTCACAACACATCTGGACCATCCTGTACTTTTGTAGTGGGTATAAATTGACGAATAAACTTCTGATGAGGCAACACGATATTTATTGTCTTTCTTACAAGACCCTAACACAAAGGGTTTATCGGTCCCTTTATCCGATACCTGGGCTGGGGCCTTAGGGGAGGCTATCGGACCCGACCGGACCTGGTCCGTGGGTCCTGACCACTGGCCTCACTGAGCTCCGGCCCTTAGAAGGACAACGGAGCTTGGGGTCCAGGGTCCTATCTTCAGCCCAGGTCTTCGGTCTTCAGCTTGCAGATGACCGAGCCAGACCTCTGAGAGGACCGGCTTATATACTGGTTCGTGGCTTGCTCCGCCCTAGCCACGCCTCCCTTCTAGAACTTTCTGGAAGGTGACATCATCCCCCGGTTCCCTCCTCCCGGGGCCCCAGGGGAATGTGTCCCAGGATCCGTTTGCTGGTGTTTGTCGTTGATCCCTTTTTGGGCCTTGGACATTAGCTCTGGCGTGATAGCGCTTCCGCCCCCTATTGATGATAAGGGGAAGCTACCAGCCCACAGAGTGGTGAGTGACGATTACCCCTACACTTTCAAACAACCCCCGTGACCGACATGGCGTTGGGGAGGCATTCATCCAGCAGTGGATTGACAAAAGTGGCACGCGGCTGTCAGTGTGACAGCTGCTCCTTGTGCCGGCGGCCTGGCTGTTTCTGCCCGCCGGCTCTCTCCATCACCGTCTCTCTCTCCGTCCCTCTCTCTCCGTCCCTCTCTATTGTATCTCTCTCCATGTCTCTCTCTCTCTCTCTCCGTTTCCATTTCTCTCTCTCCGTCTCTCTCTCTCTCGTCAGAGCGAGCGAGCAACCGAGCGAGCGAGCGGCGCTACCTTTGAGGTCCATGAGGACGAGCCGGGGCGTGTAGGTCGGCTCGCCCTGGAGCGTGACGCCCTCTCGGAACAGAACATCCGAGTTCACCTCCTGGGCGGCAATCGACAGCCGAGGGTCGGAGTTGAACGCGGCCGACTGGAGGAAGAGAGTCCTTGTGTTAGGAAGAGAGTCCTTGCGTTAGCGGCGCACGACAGACAACGGCCCCTGACTTGGTGACACACGGCAGAAGCAAACTCCCAACAGTGGCTAGGAGATGTGAACTCCCTCGCCCGGTGTGCAGGAGGTCGTGGGTTCGATCCCAACCCCGACGCCTGCTGCTGCTGTATATTTCGAGATTGCGGTTTCTCTCTCCTTGTGGTCGCGTGGATTTTTCTCCGGGTCCTCAGGTTTTTCCCTCCACATTTAGAAACGTGCATTTAAAGTATTTGGCTGTTATAAATTTCCACGTGATAAGCCACTTTGCTGAGCTATCATTTGCGGATAGGGCGCTTCTGAAAAAGAGCTGTATAGCACAGTGGGCCTTACTTGGCTAAAATACAAAATAGTTTAATAGAAGTTAAATATATATTTCTCAAGTTCATTCGATAGCCTGCAACTCTCTTTTCTCGACAACCTCCTTCAATCCCACACCTCCAAAACTTCCGGTGATCCACAATGCCGCTGCCACAATCCTCACCCACAGCTCACACACAACCTCCCTCCCTTACGAAGGAACACCTCACTCTGACACTCTCCTCCTACCTCTCCCCTCTCATCTCACTCCACTCCCCTCCACGCACTCTCCTACCTCTGCCTCTCATCTCACTCTACTCCCCTCTCATCTCACTCTACTCCCCTCCACGCACTCCCCTCTCACTCTACTCCCCTCCACTCACTCTCCTACTTCTCATCTCACTCTACTCCCCTCTCATCTCACTCTACTCCCCTCCACGCACTCTCCTACCTCTCCCCTCTCATCTCACTCTACTCATTATCTAGTCTTTAAAAAACAAACCCCGTAGTCCCATGTCCATAGCGACTTTGTGTATAACAAAGTCTCTGCGTGGAGGGTAGCTAAGAGTGAACCATCCGTTGGGAGGTTCGACGCGACAGATCATCGAATTCGTCGCTCGCCGGTTGATAAAACGCCGACCGCTTAGCGGCAAGTCAACCGTGATCACTCTGCGAAGATTAAACATTAAAACGGAGGCGCCGCGTTTGGCGGGCGTGGGTCTACTACATACAGATCAGGTGAATCCCATGCCGCGTTCCCCCGTCATAGCAACGTGCCGTTTCCACCAACGGCCCGAGACTCGTCCATGCCGGGCATTTGCGGAAAAGAGCTTCATAGCTCATCGGATTGCTCCAGTCGTAAGTCTGATTAACTCGCTCACTGGAGCTCGTCGTGTAGACAATTGGGGGTCTCTGTTGTGTTGAGTGTCCACGCCAACAACGTTTAACCCTGTTGCTGCTCAGTTTGAAACGTAGCAAGCTTTCGCGACCAATTTCATCCCTAATAGAGTTTTTTTTCTTTGGGGGGGGGGGGGGTGGTTAGATCGCGTAAATATATAAATGTGTCGTTAAAACTCGCCACAGCCAACGATACATTTATATATTTACGCGATATAACCCCCAAAAACCCATCTTTATGATGATGTTGATGCTTCTGCTGTCACCAATGGTCGTGTCAACAGCAGTAACTGTGGCGAGGCAGTGGAGCGGTGGTGCAGCGGTTAGGATTGCTGCGTCACGCACCCAGACACCGTGATAGGGTTCTATAGCGGGCCCACGGCTAAAATCACTGTATGTACATATATGTGTATATACACACACACAGACTGATTATATATACACGGCTAAAATCCGTGTGTATACATACATATATGTGTATAACCATTGAAGTATGGGCAAAGAGTGCCTTGCGTGGCGGACACGGCGTGCGGGGCGAGGACTGGGCTGCATCCAGCAGTGGATAGACAATGTCTCGTGGTGGTGGTGGTCACGATGTCTCGCGGTGCTCAGTACCTGGCTGTTCCACCAGTGCGCGCCCACAAAGCCTGCGTAGTGGCCCAACTGCAGGGTGACTACCTCCCCGCGTGAGCTGGCCATGGCCGGAGGCCGCTGCTGCTGTTGTTGTTGTTGCTGTTGTTGTTGTTGCTCCTATTGTTGTTGCTGCTGCTCCTATTGTTGTTGCTGTTGTTTCCCGCCCCCTGGTTGAGCCGCTACTGTCAACGAGGAAGGGGCAGCAGTGGCGACTGCGCGTCCCCACGTGCTCCACTGCGCACTGCCATTGGCGCAGAAGCACCCTACGGTGGCTCTGCGAGTGAATCCACGCGCGTCGTATTTTTAAAACGCGAAACACGTGGCGCGTTTGCGTCTTTGTGTGTGGGGAGCGGTGGTGCAGCGCTGCGCTACGAACCTGGCGATCCGAGTTCGATTCCCGCTCACGGCCCAGCACCCAGTGACGATTATCAGAGCCGGTCCTGGGCCTCGCGTAGGTCGACTCAGCCTCAAATGAGTACCTGGCGCGGTGTGTTAAACATCGCCACTGGGGAGACAAAGGCGGTCGGGCGTGGTGTTGACCACCCATCCCCTCATGCGCCCTGCCGGCCTTTAAAGGTGCTCGCTAACAGCACTTGCCCCAAGTCTGTTCAGGCTATACGGGGATCTTTGTCTTTTGTGTGTGCGCCTAGTAGGGGGCACAGGTGGTGCATTGGGCCAGTCATCTCAGTGAGTCGACCCGTGGCACCTTCTGGGTCTGCCCCGTGACCTGCTGCCAGCGGGCGTTCGACACTTCACGTGGCCTCAACGTGCACCTAGCCTGGCACAAGCGCCGTGGTGACGCCACCGCCACTTAGTGGCGAATGTTGTCATTGTGCGCATTCGGTTAGCGCGTGACGCACGCTACTAGCCCGGCCACCCGAGTTCGATTCCCACTCACGGCCCAGCACCCAGTGACGATTATCTGAGGCGGTCCTGGGCCTCCCCGAGGTCGACTCAGCCTCAAATGAGCACCTGGTGCGGTGTGTAGTAAACGTCGCCACTAGGGAGACAAAGGCGGCCGGGCGTGGTGTTGGCCACCGACCCCGTCTTGTGCCACAGTGCCGGCCGTCATAGGTTCTCGCTGACAGCACTTTCCCCAACAGTCTGTAAAGGCTACACGGGGGGGTCTTTGTCGTTGTCAGATGAGAGGGTTCGCTCCCTCACCCCAACCCTGCGCACTTGTACAGAGAGAGCCCTTTGTCGTTCCACTCCTGGGTGCAGTGACGTGCGGTGAGGTCAATGGCTGGGGAGGCACTGGCTAGTGTCAGTGCCAGATTCACACACTTAGGGGGGCGTGGCCTCACGGAGGGGGCGTGGCCTCGCTGAGGGGGCGTGCCCTCACTGAGGGGGGCGTGTTAGACACGCCCCCCTCAGTGAGGCAGATGTGACAGCTGCCTCCCCTGGTGTTTTTTCATTGCAGTTTCATGACGAGACCAGCGAGCCTATTTATTTCAGTTTCAGTTTATTTATTTGGTATAGCCCTGTGAGCCATTCGGCTCTTGAATCGGGTGCAACCACAACAAACAAAAAACAAAAACACGAATGAGAAAACATCTTAAAGTGACTATGTGACTGTGCAAACAGAAAATCCATGAAAAAACAGAAAAATATTCCTGAAAAGCACCGTACACCAACGCTGTGTGCAAAAATCCCAGTGGGATGCAAGTAAAACAACAACCACAAGAAAACTTAGATTAAGGACATCAGTCTAATTAAGGCCATCAGTCTAAATATCTTTATACACATACGTGAAATAAGTTACCTGGAGTATGGAAGGCGAGGACATGCAATGAAGGGGTCTACAAACATTACATTGGAGACACACAGAGAGATAGTAACAGGCAAGCACTTACTGCCCGCGCTCCATCCAGTTACTGAGGGGTTGCGCAATCAGAGGGGAGGCTGAGCTCGTCGCTGCCTCACCTCTCGTCTCTCCCTGTATTTGCAGCGGAGCTCCGCAAATTTGGCGATTTTGACGATAAAAATGATTGGAATCGTACAGAAATGACATTTATAACACAGATCAGTGGAAAAATATTAATATTTATTTTATGTATTATTTTTTTTAGTTACAGCTATTTTCATTGGAGTATGACAGGTGAGGCTCTGCCTCCCCTGGCCGCACGTGCCTGGCTGCGCGAGGGCCTCTCCACGCCGCGTTGGTCGTCAATTGACCAGACTACACCACGCGGGGTCGCGAAGGCTGGAAAACTGTCACGTAGACGTAGAGGCATGAGCGTTTAATTCATTTAAACGCGTAGGCTTTCGCGACCCCATATCATCCATGATGCAGGTTTTTTTTCTTGGGGGGGGGGGGTTAAAACAAATCTGGCTATCCGCCTGATGATGCCGGTTGTGATAACTGGCGAAACGTCGGACTCAGATTGTAAATGTTGTGGCTTGGCTCTCCAATAAAACGGTGTGCTGTACTGGTAACGAATTGGCCACGTTCTGTTTACGTGACAAACCCCTTACTAATTGGCTGTGTCGGGTGGTGGCGGGTTTAACAACACATTGGTATATTTTCGCGATCTAACCCCCAAAACCCATCTTCAGGATGAATGAATGTCGCTGCACTGCCATCTGCTGGCTGCCACGTAAACTGAGACAGGCGACCAGGTGGAGACGACGAGCCGACACAATCAGAACCTTATATTTTTCCTGGAGAAATACGATGAGCTATGAAGCTCTTTTTCACAGATGCCCAGTTTCAGTATCGGGACTGCTCAGTGAGCTTGGGGGGGGGGGGGGGTCGCTAGAAACTTAAACTAAACTACGTTTTATTTTACTATGTTACGGCCCACTGAACAATATCGACCTTTTTCAGAAGCGACCTGGCCATAAATGATCGCTGAACGAAGCAAGCTTATCGTGTGGAAATATAGAGCAGGCAAACACTCGAAACGGGTGATGTTGATTTTAAATGTGGAGGGGGAAAAAACCGGTGGACCCGGAGAATCCACGCGACCACGAATGGAGATATCGACCTGCGCAATTGCTGGAGCGGAGGCTGAATGCTCGGACGGGAGTGGAATGAGATGAGGTTGGAAAGGGGTAATGAGCGTGCTGTGCCCGGGCGCCACGGTGGTGAGATGTTAACTACTTCCCCTGGCATACAGGAGGTCATTGGTTCGATCCCCGACCGTGACACAATATTTGGAGTTTTCGGTGTCTCTCGTCGTGGTCGCGTGGATTTTTCTCCGGGTCCCTCCGGTTTTTCCCCTCCACGTTTAGAAACGTGCGTTTGGAGTATTTGGCCACGATAAGTTTCCACATAAGCCACTTCGTTGAGCTATTTGTAACCAGTTCGCTTTGGTAACATAGCTATGTAAGTGGTCAAATTAAAAGTTTAGTTTAGGTACCGGGGAAAGGTGGCTGGGCTCACTACGCTAATCACCTAAGTGCAATGGTCAGGAACGTGGTATTTTTAGAAAAAGTGATTTCTTGTTTGAACTCGGAGTCGACTCTCAATTACCGGGGTTAATGCGGGGAATGAGGTTTCGTCCGCTGACACAAAAGTAGAGACGACTGCGAACGATGTGTAAATGAGGTTGTGAGAAACGTGTTTATTGCTTCCCTGTGTAGAATGGGGGTGAATATGTACACCGCATCATTTGCCCAGTGCCGTTTTAAAATTGATCTGGGATTAGATTGGGAGGCAGTGGAACGATCGGAGTATCGGGGTGAGGTCACATTAATGGGTGCGGGGGAATTCAAGCGGCAGCATTTTGGATGAGCTGATGTGTGGTGATGAGAGTTTTGCCGAAGGCTATAGAGGGGAGAGTTGTAGGCGACTGATGGTAATGCAAAAATAGCTCCGGTTTGTCATCAGTCGAGCAGAGTTCTCTGATACGAGAGTTCTGAATGGAAATAATAACCATTGCTAGTCTACATTATAGACTGCCAGTACACTCAACAAACTTAATAACCAGGCTGCAGTCTACATTATGAAAACTATATTTTCATTTTTATTTTCTACCTACGTGACTTTACCGAAAGAACCAAAGAGTATGGATCCTTGCAGTCACGAAAACTTCAAATCTAGAATTAACCAGCCTACAGTCGACATCAGTGGTTATTGGTTATTATTTTTTAACCTTATTTTTATTATAATTTTTCTATCTACGTGACTTTACCGAAAGAACCAAAGAATATGGAAATGTTTATGAATGCAGTTTATATGTGGATAAAACATCAAGAACAACATCAACAACAGCAAGGGATGCCACATTCAATTCACGTCTAATTTTATTTGCATATGCATCATCGGTGCGCCCACGCACTGGATATGCCAAAGAGTTCACAAACGTTTCTACGCGTGCAAAACAAAACCGCCCCGAACAGTGAACATTCCAAATCTTTAATAAAGTATAGAGCAGGACCCAGGTCTTCACCAACTTGCACCCACGTCAACGCGTAGGCTGCTGCAGCAGCAGCAGATGGTCATTCTGTGCGTCTGACCTCCATAATCCCATCCAGTAATAATATTAAAAACCAGTCGCACACATTTTGAGTTCATAGGAGCATTATTAAACTCACGCTCCCATCACCTCACACAACCCACCATCATTATCGCCGCGATCATAATTTTCGTCATCATCGGAGGGGCAAGCTCGACAGATGGAGTATTTGCACTACAAGAAATTTAAATCATCAGTTCGATTCTCAGTCGAGGGGATCGAACTGCATACGCCTCCCCCCTCGCCACGAATTGACAACAGACAACCAGTGCCACGTGGCAGGGACGCAATGTCTGCTGCGTGGACAGATGCCTCGTCGGTTTATAAAAGCGGCTTCGCTGGCCGTAGATGTCCCAGTTCAAATGGGCAAAAAAACGGTAACGGGCAGCCAATATTTGTGACATTGTGGTGGTGTCTTAAAGATGTCATCAAAAAAACCACGAAGCTTTTTTTATGATGTGTACCTCGGCTCTGTCCCAGGCTGTTCGATAGAGTTTGAAACTTCGTCAATGAGGGGAAAAAAATACTTGAAAGTTGTAGTCAAGCACATCACCAACGCCCTGTGGACCGATATTATTGCGCTGATTAATATTGTATGGGAGGCATGAGATGACTGCCATCATGGTGTGCAAATGAATACATTAAAAAAAATGTGTTCCCAAAAAAGATATCACTTCAATCTTTGGGGCACATTGACCAGCTGGTGATATCACTCCGATATGTTTTAACACAGTAGAGTAACATCACTCGTGCCTACGGCCGAGTTCCTGTCCATAAGTGTAACGTGTTTTTTCTTCTTATTCATACAACTTCAAACTCGTATCATAGACAAATATCTCCCAAGTGGCCCACAAAGACTGTTTGGGTCAAGTGATGTTAGCGAGCACCTATGAAGGCCAGCACCACACACCTTCACCTCCCCAGTGCCGATAGAAATACAGAGCCAGGAACTAATTTAAAGGCCTAGTAAACTTTGGGGAGGCCCAGGGACAGGTTCAGGTATCACTCGCCACTGAGGTCAACTGTGGCTGGGAATTGAACCCAGGTAGCATGGTTCGTAGCGCAGCGCGCCAACCGCTACACTGCCGCTCCCTACGACTGGTATCAGGAACACGCGGGATATTATGCAGACGAGATGTCTTACCAGAAACCGCTGTCTCTACGGCTCGTGTGTCCAAGGTTACATGGATTTCAAATCTGTGGGTGCCACATTGTGGATGGCGAGGTTCTCTCAGAGAGCAGTTTCGACAGATTACAGATTATTTGAGGTGCTTAAGGCATTCCTCTGGAGGTCAAACTATAACGTGGGACACCCCCCCCCCCACCTTTAGAATTTCACATCCCCCCCAACAACACAGCAGTGAGGAGCTGGGAGTTGCTGCAATGGGGTGCGTCAACCCTTCAGCTACGATGCCAATTCTAATAAAAAAAAACTAAATACAGTGGTTAAGTTTCGGACTATACATGGGCAATTCACCTTAAGTATACAATAAAATAAACTTTGGACTTATAAAGCATCATAATACAATCGTACCTCACTCAAGGATTCTGTACACAACAGATCAATCGTTTTGTTTCTAAGCGGATTCGATAATAAAACACATCGATACGGAACACGTCGGAACGAAGCGGTCAACATTGCTTGGTTTGCTAATGCTCTCAAAGAGGAAATTATTCTCGTCGATACAAACGTTACAAGTGCTCTGTGATACGTCGGCAAGAAGAGCCCACAAACCATTATTGCAGCGAGTTAGGGTACGTTTCAAATCGTGTAAACATCTAATATCATCCAAAACAGCATGAAATTTAAGTGACCAGAGACAAACCAAACCCCCCCCCCCCCCCAAAAAAAAGGCTCTGAAATATACATTCGTACGTTTAAAGCGAAACAGTGGGGAAGGAACTGTAATCTATATTAAAAACATTGGGTTTATTTTTTGTTATCACGACAGTGTAATGCGGCTTGTTTATAAAACAGCGAAAATTATAAAGTGAACAGCACGGGGCTCATTTAACTGCAAATCATGGAATGTTCAACTACAGCTGTGGGGGGGGGGGGAAGTAAATGCGTTCTTCTCAAGAGTATGACCAACTCGTCTTCCGATCCAGCGATATTTACCTTAACGGCAAACAACATCGACCCGACGCATTTTTGTGTTCACGCGCGGCACTTCTCTCGAATCGGTAACAGACTCGCGTCAAGTTACTTCAACTTCCAGTTGACGAAAAGCAAAGAGGACGCGTCGATATTATTACGAGGTTTGGGGCGACGATGAAAAAGACAACCCCGAGAGAGAGAGAGAGAGAAAAAAAAGACCCGATGCGAGCGTCATATCACAACACGCACAGAGCGGATGAACTCCCACGACTCGCACGACTCGCTCAATTGCTAAAAAAAGACAAAGCAACCGTTATTAGTATTTGGCGAGAAACAGGCAGCCAATGACTGCGGCTCAGCTACAGTCCAAATCGATGAAGCCTAAGCGAACGAACTCATTACACGTAGTTGTATTTCTGAAAATGCTTATAAACGCTTTTCGTTCACGATACCGGCTGGACTGCGAGCAGTCGGGGTGTAACCATTCTCGGGGTTGATATCGGTTTTCAAGACGCGCGATGAATCGCCTATATGCGCGCGATTTGGTGTTCTCCCGATGTGCGCACGTTGCAATGGCTTCACGTGTCCCCTCCACCCAACGCAGGCTGCTACATTCACCACAATGTTTGTTTAAAAAAAAAGATCAGTTTTCTTTCGATCCGATTGTGACCATGAATCGCGAGTGGGTTCAGATTACCTCCGATATCAAGTTCACAATGGCCAAGAGGCTCAGCTCTTCGCGAGATCTACAGCAGTGGCAAGCGTCGGCAACAGTCCTGGCCAGGACTGGATTCTACACTCCATGTGTGCCATTCATCAGCACCTGACTAATAATAACCAGGGAAGGAGACGTCTCCCCCCCCTCCCCCCCCATGATAGGAGTCCTAGCCTAGAGCCCAGGATGGGTCGAAGGCAGGGACAGTCATCGCAAGGTGAGCGGGGTGGGAAGGCACACGCGGGGTGTAGCCTCGCGTACGACAACTCGCGTGCGTCCGATCGAGCGTTCCTTCACATCACCGTGCGATCCTTCAACCCAACTCCGCGCCCCCAACCCAAATTCTCTTAAGCAGGAGGTATTCACGGACGGTTGGGCAAGTGGCAAGCTCTCGTGCGGAGCGACCGGGCAGCCGAGACGCAAACGGGACTCTGTAGCGAGCGCCGGGGGGGGGGGGTTCAGGGTTAGGGTACACGGTTTCACGCAAATCGCCGTCCCCGTGGAACGTACCGCAAAGAAATGGGGACCGACGGAAACGCGAACACGCTCACGGGAACGACGCTCACCACCTCCAGTGTAATGTGTGCATAATGCCGTAGATACATTCTCTAAGAGTACCGTTCACGATAAAACTAATTAGTACAAGCACCCCAAGCGCCCTCGCCGTCCCCGAACGTCCGACACGCCGACGACTGAAAGTCCTTGGGCATGTCCCATCACAGTGTATAACAAGGTACAGCCGTGTTCAACAAGCAGGTGGAGGTGGGGAGGGGGGGTTCTGATGGTCCGCGAATTTCCTTCGTTTGAATAGAGGGCCGCGTGTCCTTCATGGGAGTCCCGAGGTCTCGGTGGGGTCTCTTGGTGACCCCCCTACAACTCCACCAGGCCTCCTCAAGTGCATGGGGCGGCCGTGTGCGACCGCGAACACATATGCAGTGAAGTGAGATTTACAAACCAAATTGAAAGTCGCACACCCGCATTGATTATCCTGCCATGGTGCTGGACATGGCGATAACAGAGACGCCGTAAATATTTCCCCCCGCCCCCCCCGACGCACCGAGTGAGTCTTTTTACAGATCAGCGATCCAGAAGGGAAGGTCGTTTTCTCAGCGCTCTGTGTGTTTTATTCACCACTAATTCCCGCTGCGAGTGTTGGCAAGGGCTTCCAACGGAGTCATCGTTTCATTCCACGCGCAGGTGCCGAGAGGGCAACTCTTCACGGGCGGCCGTTTGATCAGTGCCTGAAAACTTGACTGGAAAAAAAATAACTAAATCTCGAAAACAAAATCGCCGAACAAGCGCGTCAGCCGCTCCACTGTCCTGCACCCGCACAGTCTTCTCTCTTCTATTGCTCAAACAGGTACCGGCAAGAAAACCCGAGTCGAGGCCATCGGTGCTCGATTCTTCGTGGCGGTTGGCCCGTCTTGGCTCGGCGTTTCGCGACGCTCGCCGAATGAGACTGAAAACGCGGCGTTTAAAAATGCAACTCTTCCACGGCCAAAAAAAAACGCTCCCTTTTTCCCCACGGTGCGTGCCGTCGGTGCTGTGCTGTCGGCGCCGTCTCTGCCGAGCTCCTCACAGGTGCGGCTCCCCGATGGTCCTGCGGCACATGGAGACGCGGGCGCTGGGCGGCCGGTCGCAGTTGTGCGTCAGCTTCACCTGGTGCGGCTCCAGGCGATCGTACGCGCGCTTGTACTCGCGGTCAAACGCGTCTGGCGGGGCGGAACAGGGCGTGACGGATTGTGTGGGGGGTGGGGGGGGGTTAGAGAAATGTGAGCAATGCGAGGATACAGCTGGGACGATTGGTCAATCGTGTCGTGGAATCGACGAAACAAATGGCAATGTACCAATTTTGTTGTGGTTGATTACTCGGGGCCCCTTGAAATGTGGTTGCCGACGGATGCCGTGTAAACAGCGGCAAGACTTTTTTCCAGAATTATTTTTGCGTTATCCGACAAGTCGGGTGAGGATGTTTGGCCCAAAAGCAAGGGGTAACACAATGAGTTCAGATGTTGGACACGAGCAGTCGGGCCCTCCGAGTGGAATGTCACCATGTGACAATTAGGTGCGCGACAAAGCGTCGATTCATCGAATGAAGTGGATTCTTACACTCGTGATGCATGCATTGACGAATTGTACACGCGAGGGTCGATTACCTACGAATCGAGTGAATTGTAAGCATGGCGGGGGGGGCATTCTCTGTGAAAGAAAACCGAATTTCAACGTACTAATTTTACCGACACAGAATTGCCACAGTGGCGAGATGTTAACTGCGTCGCCTGGTATGCAGGAGGTTGTGGGTTCGATCCCGACCCCTGCTGTATATTTCGGCATTTGCATGTTCTCCCCGTGGTCGTGTCGATTTTTCCCCGGGCCTTCCAAATTTATCCCTCCATATTTAGAATCAAGATGCGTTTAAAGGTGTTGGCTGCTATAAATTTCCCACGTGACGATAAGCCACTTTGTTGAGCTATCATTTGTGGCCAGATTGCGTCTGAAAAAAAAATCCATAATGCTCAGTGGCCCTTACCTGGTAAAATAAAAATAAAATGTTTATAGACTCCCTGAGCAGCAGCCGGCTGCTTATGCCACCGTTCGCTGACCGACCGTACAAAACGACTCACCAATGTCGACATTATCTCTGCCCAGTGACACCATGGACAGGAACAGGATTTCCCGGTAGAGGCTCCTGCAACAAGACAGGGGAGGAATATTTGTCGCACTTCCACCGCACGTCTTCCAATGATCAGTATGTTAATTTAACACGTAGGCTTTCGCGACCAATATTATTCATGATAAAGGTTTTTGGGTTAGATCGCGTTTATTTATAAATGTGTCGTAACCCACCACCACCCGACACGGCCAATCAGCAAAAAAAGTGTCACGTTGACAAAAGACAAATAATTCACTACTTTAGCCCACCATACTTTAGTATGACGTTTCGCTGGTAAATACATTCTGGCGAATTGCCCGATGATGCTGGATGTATTTACCAGCGAAACGTCATACTCAAACTGTAAATGTTGTGGATTCACTCTTCAACACACCGGTGGGCTAAAGTAGTGAACTAATTGTCTTTTGTCAACGTGACACTTTTTTTGCTGATTGGCCGTGTCGGGTGGTGGAGGGTCACAACACATTTATAAATAACGTGATCTAACCCAAAAACCTTTATTATTATCAGTATGTTCATTGAAATGCTTAGTATTTTTCCCAGCGTTATTTTCATCGTGTCGTCGGCATCCTGTCATGAGACTTCGCATCCATCTGGAACTCTCACAGCACAGCAGTACACCGCCATGCGTATTAAAGTCTAGAGAAACCAGACTTAACAGAACTTCTTCTGAGATCTCTTCAAGTGATGTTCATCTGCAAATTCGAGGGTGCACTTTCCAACAGAGACACAGAAATGAATGGGCGGCCGAATAGTAGGGCTCGCGCTTTAGCGGTTCAATAAATGGACCCCCGAGCAAATAGTTGGGCGAGTCGGTGAGCTAGTGAGCATTTGGTGCAGCCTGGCGGCTGGAGGACGAGCGAGTGAGCGAGCGAGCGAGCCAGCGATTGCCTACCGGTGGCGATGGCGGCGGTGAGCAGGGTGCTTGGCTTGCATCTCGAGCACGTGCGAGAGCGGGCGGTACAGGTCGTTGTGCTGGATGCTCGTCACGATGCTCTGCAGGGTGCCGCGCGGCAGCTGCTGCTCGTCCGTCACCAGCGCGTGCACCAGCGACGACTGTTCACCTGGGAGGAAACGCAGACACGGACGCTAACCGTCAAGAGGTGCGCGTCGCTCAATCGCACGGAGGAGCCAGCGTGGAACCGTCTTCAGGAGCTATACAGACCCCAGTGGTGTTCGAGGAGCGCTCTCGCCAATGACATCAAGCAACCAAGCAGCATTTGTTTAACAGGCCGTGAACTTTCCAATGTGGCTCAGAGGAGTTAAAACCAAACCAAGTTCGCCTGCAAAAAGTAATACTGTTGGAATACATTGGTCTGGATGGCCTGTTGGTTTGATGCACTTAAATAGTATTTCGACAATGGAGCAGATTTGAGCTATTTTTAATGATTGAATCTGTTATTATCTGTTTACATGTGCCTTGTTAAACCCAACACAGTCGAATAGCGATGATATTTCTAGCATCGCTCGACAATGAAGTCAAATAATCCCGCTGTTTAATTACAGACACACTTAACTGGCCTGTGTTCAACTGTTTAATTACACACACACACACTTAACTGGCCTGTGTTCAACTGTTTAATTACACCCACACACTTAACTGGCCTGTGTTCAACTGTTTAATTACACACATACTTAACTGGACTGTGATCAACTGTTTAATTACACACACACACTTAACTGGCCTGTGTTCAACTGTTTAATTACACACACACACTTAACTGGCCTGTGTTCAACTGTTTAATTACACACACACACTTAACTGGCCTGTGTTCAACTGTTTAATTACACACACACACACACTTAACTGGCCTGTGTTCAACTGTTTAATTACACACACACTTAACTGGCCTGTGTTCAACTGTTTAATTACACACACACACTTAACTGGCCTGTGTTCAACTGTTTAATTACACACACACACTTAACTGGCCTGTGATCAACTGTTTAATTACACACACACACTTAACTGGCCTGTGTTCAACTGTTTAATTACACACACACTTAACTGGCCTGTGTTCAACTGTTTAATTACACACACACACTTAACTGGCCTGTGTTCAACTGTTTAATTACACACACACACTTACTTAACTGGCCTGTGATCAACTGTTTAATTACACACACACACTTAACTGGCCTGTGTTCAACTGCTAAACCAGCAGTCAGTCATTTAACACACGGCACACGCACACCACGCGCACACGCACGGGGTGCACAGCCTAAGGCTTAAGGCAGGTGGGGACAACTGAGAACTGCATTCAGCCTTGAATTGCAGAATAAAACAAAAGGGAAAGAAGAACACGATGGTTAAAACAATGAAACGTGAAGATGTCTACTCAAGAGGAAGCATGGATGGATACAGTTTCAACCTGCGACTGTGTATACCCTACCTACGATGGGCAGCCAGAAAGTTTAATGAATAAGCAGCCAATAACACATCTAGTTGTTTTTACTTGATACGAGCCTTATTTGTAAACCCCACTTTCATATTCGTGTCATTATTAAAAAAGAGACCCCTCATCTCAATGGGCTCTTCAACATCATCATCATCATCGTCGTCAGCAATGATCTATCCACTGCTGGATGAAGGCTTCCCGAAACAAACGAGGGTGTTGACTTGATTATATACAGGGCTCACCTGTCAATGTAGGAATTAATACATATTTCGAGGGTGTTGCATATTGATATTGGCGGCTGTATTCACACTTGTGCTCGTGTTTTGACATCCACTTCTCGCAACTTTCTCACCACCCATCAAATGCAGTTTCGGAATTAATGGCCCGATGATGCCTCGATTCATCAGTTAATCACAATAGTTAAGCTCATAGTACGCAAAATGGAATTATGAACATATAAGAATCGGCGTGTTCTTGAAACCGAGATGTTGCAACGTATATAATGGGTTCAAGTCAACCCTGCAGCCACCATTCATGGTAATGTGATAAAAAAGTATCGATGAATCGAATTGCATCGCCGGAGGGGGAGAGTCGGTGGGGGGGGGGGGGGGCAGAATCCATTCTACCCTCAATGCCGAGTCTAGAAAAGGTGGGAGCCAGCAACACAGACAACGTTGACACGGAGTCGCACGAATAGACGCGTGACGACACGGCACAGACGCGGGGGGGGGGGGGGGGGGGGGTAGCCTTTAGCCATCAAAAGGAACTCACGTTCAGACATTAGCGTACAGTTTAGACCTGCAACGACACAGAGGCACCACCCACGTGCACGCACCTCTGATTAGCACGGTTGGCTACGTACGGCGCGAAAGAGGTTCAACATACGTACATGTATACGTCAGAGCCGAGGGGACTCGGTCAACCTCCCCCTGGGGGGTAGTTTGGCAACGAGGAGATACCCAGGCGCCCGTCGACGCTTAAGCATGTGCGATGAACAATTGTGCGGTGCGTTAGCTATCGAAAGAATCGGACCCAGTGATGCAAGGGTCTCCCGGGCTGTCGTTTCACATTTGGCCATCTCTTCCCTGTTCGAAAGCAAACCACGACGTTGCAAAGCGTGTGTGGTGAAGAAAAACGGAAGACGACAAATGTGGTGGGTGCCACAGGTAGCAGTGTTTTGGAAGCCCTGGAGAAATGGAAGCCAAAATAAAATACGAAGGGGTATGCTTAGGTGTACGATTAGGGACCGCGTTAGACTTGGGTCAGTCATCCTATTGCTGGGAAATGAAAGTCAATGTGGAATTTGTGACGAGAGACTTGGGACGTTTGGACTAAATGTGTTAAGAGACCACGGTGGTGGTGAGCAGTGAAGCTGTTTATTGACGACAGAAGATGAACAAGGTTCATTGTCTGAAAACGTTACTTTATTCGGTATTTGTCTGTTGAACGGTAGTGTTAATGACGGGCGTGTTAATGACGGGCGTGTTAATGACGGGCGTGTTAATGACGGGCGTGTTAATGACGGGCGTGTTAATGACGGGCGTGTTAATGACGGTAGTGGTAATGACGGGCGTGTTAATGACGGGCGTGTTAATGACGGGCGTGTTAATGACGGGCGTGTTAATGATGGTAGTGTTAATGACGGTAGTGTTAATGACGGGCGTGTTAATGACGGGCGTGTTAATGACGGGCGTGTTATTGACAGTAGTGTTAATGACGGTAGTGTTATTGACGGTAGTGTTAATGACGGTAGTGTTAATGACGGTAGTGTTAATGACGGTAGTGTTAATGACGGTAGTGTTAATGACAGGTGTGTTAATGACGGGCGTGTTAATGACGGGTGTGTTAATGACGGTAGTGTTAATGACGGGCGTGTTAATGACGGGCGTGTTAATGACGGGTGTGTTAATGACGGTAGTGCTAATGGCGGTAGTGTTAATGACGGTAGTGTTAATGACGGGTGTGTTATTGACGGGCGTGTTATTGACGGTAGTGTTAATGACGGTAGTGTTAATGACGGTAGTGTTAATGACGGTAGTGTTAATGACGGTAGTGTTAATGACGGGCGTGTTATTGACGGTAGTGCTAAAGACGGTAGTGTTAATGAAGGTAGTGTTAATGACGGTAGTGTTAATGAAGGTAGTGTTAATGACGGGCGTGTTAATGACGGTAGTGTTAATGACGGGCGTGTTAATGACGGTAGTGTTAATGAAGGTAGTGTTAATGACGGGCGTGTTAATGACGGGCGTGTTAATGACGGTAGTGTTAATGGCGGTAGTTTTAATGACGGGCGTGTTAATGACGGGCGTGTTATTGACGGGTGTGTTAATGACAGGCGTGTTAATGGCGGTAGTGTTAATGACGGGCGTGTTAATGACGGTAGTGTTAATGACGGGCGTGTTAATGACGGTAGTGTTAATGACGGGCGTGTTAATGACGGGCGTGTTAATGACAGTAGTGTTAATGACGGGTGTGTTAATGACGGGTGTGTTAATGACGGGTGTGTTAATGACGGTAGTGCTAATGGCGGTAGTGTTAATGACGGTAGTGTTAATGACGGGTGTGTTATTGACGGGCGTGTTATTGACGGTAGTGTTAATGACGGTAGTGTTAATGACGGTAGTGTTAATGACGGTAGTGTTAATGACGGTAGTGTTAATGACGGGCGTGTTATTGACGGTAGTGCTAAAGACGGTAGTGTTAATGAAGGTAGTGTTAATGACGGTAGTGTTAATGAAGGTAGTGTTAATGACGGGCGTGTTAATGACGGTAGTGTTAATGACGGGCGTGTTAATGACGGTAGTGTTAATGAAGGTAGTGTTAATGACGGGCGTGTTAATGACGGGCGTGTTAATGACGGTAGTGTTAATGGCGGTAGTTTTAATGACGGGCGTGTTAATGACGGGCGTGTTATTGACGGGTGTGTTAATGACAGGCGTGTTAATGGCGGTAGTGTTAATGACGGGCGTGTTAATGACGGTAGTGTTAATGACGGGCGTGTTAATGACGGTAGTGTTAATGACGGGCGTGTTAATGACGGGCGTGTTAATGACAGTAGTGTTAATGACGGGTGTGTTAATGACGGGTGTGTTAATGACGGGCGTGTTAATGACGGTAGTGTTAATGACGGGCGTGTTAATGACGGGCGTGTTAATGACGGGCGTGTTAATGACGGGCGTGTTAATGACGGTAGTGTTAATGACGGGCGTGTTAATGACGGGCGTGTTATTGACAGTAGTGTTAATGACGGTAGTGTTATTGACGGTAGTGTTAATGACGGTAGTGTTAATGACGGTAGTGTTAATGACGGTAGTGTTAATGACGGGTGTGTTAATGACGGGTGTGTTAATGACAGGCGTGTTAATGACGGGTGTGTTAATGACGGTAGTGTTAATGACGGGCGTGTTAATGACGGGCGTGTTAATGATGGGTGTGTTAATGACGGTAGTGCTAATGGCGGTAGTGTTAATGACGGTAGTGTTAATGACGGGCGTGTTAATGACGGGCGTGTTATTGACAGTAGTGTTAATGACGGTAGTGTTATTGACGGTAGTGTTAATGACGGTAGTGTTAATGACGGTAGTGTTAATGACGGTAGTGTTAATGACGGGTGTGTTAATGACGGGTGTGTTAATGACAGGCGTGTTAATGACGGGTGTGTTAATGACGGTAGTGTTAATGACGGGCGTGTTAATGACGGGCGTGTTAATGATGGGTGTGTTAATGACGGTAGTGCTAATGGCGGTAGTGTTAATGACGGTAGTGTTAATGACGGGTGTGTTATTGACGGGCGTGTTATTGACGGTAGTGTTAATGACGGTAGTGTTAATGACGGTAGTGTTAATGACGGGCGTGTTAATGACGGTAGTGTTAATGACGGGTGTGTTAATGACGGGTGTGTTAATGACAGGCGTGTTAATGACGGGTGTGTTAATGACGGTAGTGTTAATGACGGGCGTGTTAATGACGGGCGTGTTAATGATGGGTGTGTTAATGACGGTAGTGCTAATGGCGGTAGTGTTAATGACGGTAGTGTTAATGACGGGTGTGTTATTGACGGGCGTGTTATTGACGGTAGTGTTAATGACGGTAGTGTTAATGACGGTAGTGTTAATGACGGGCGTGTTAATGACGGTAGTGTTAATGACGGTAGTGTTAATGACGGGCGTGTTATTGACGGTAGTGCTAAAGACGGTAGTGTTAATGAAGGTAGTGTTAATGACGGTAGTGTTAATGAAGGTAGTGTTAATGACGGGCGTGTTAATGACGGTAGTGTTAATGACGGGCGTGTTAATGACGGTAGTGTTAATGAAGGTAGTGTTAATGACGGGCGTGTTAATGACGGGCGTGTTAATGACGGTAGTGTTAATGGCGGTAGTGTTAATGACGGGTGTGTTAATGACGGGCGTGTTATTGACGGGTGTGTTAATGACAGGCGTGTTAATGGCGGTGGTGTTAATGACGGGCGTGTTAATGACGGTAGTGTTAATGACGGGCGTGTTAATGACGGTAGTGTTAATGACGGGCGTGTTAATGACGGGCGTGTTAATGACAGTAGTGTTAATGACGGGTGTGTTAATGACGGGCGTGTTAATGACGGTAGTGTTATTGACGGTAGTGTTAATGACGGTAGTGTTAATGACGGTAGTGTTAATGACGGGCGTGTTATTGACGGTAGTGCTAAAGACGGTAGTGTTAATGAAGGTAGTGTTAATGACGGTAGTGTTAATGAAGGTAGTGTTAATGACGGGCGTGTTAATGACGGTAGTGTTAATGACGGGCGTGTTAATGACGGTAGTGTTAATGAAGGTAGTGTTAATGACGGGCGTGTTAATGACGGGCGTGTTAATGACGGTAGTGTTAATGGCGGTAGTTTTAATGACGGGCGTGTTAATGACGGGCGTGTTATTGACGGGCGTGTTAATGACAGGCGTGTTAATGGCGGTAGTGTTAATGACGGGCGTGTTAATGACGGTAGTGTTAATGACGGGCGTGTTAATGACGGTAGTGTTAATGACGGGCGTGTTAATGACGGGCGTGTTAATGACAGTAGTGTTAATGACGGGTGTGTTAATGACGGGTGTGTTAATGACGGGCGTGTTAATGACGGTAGTGTTAATGACGGGCGTGTTAATGACGGGCGTGTTAATGACGGGCGTGTTAATGACGGGCGTGTTAATGACGGGCGTGTTAATGACGGTAGTGGTAATGACGGGCGTGTTAATGACGGGTGTGTTGATAACGGGTGTGTTAATGACGGGCGTGTTAATGACGGGCGTGTTAATGATGGTAGTGTTATTGACGGTAGTGTTAATGACGGTAGTGTTAATGACGGGCGTGTTAATGACGGGCGTGTTATTGACAGTAGTGTTAATGACGGTAGTGTTATTGACGGTAGTGTTAATGACGGTAGTGTTAATGACGGTAGTGTTAATGACGGTAGTGTTAATGACGGGTGTGTTAATGACGGGTGTGTTAATGACAGGCGTGTTAATGACGGGTGTGTTAATGACGGTAGTGTTAATGACGGGCGTGTTAATGACGGGCGTGTTAATGATGGGTGTGTTAATGACGGTAGTGCTAATGGCGGTAGTGTTAATGACGGTAGTGTTAATGACGGGTGTGTTATTGACGGGCGTGTTATTGACGGTAGTGTTAATGACGGTAGTGTTAATGACGGTAGTGTTAATGACGGGCGTGTTAATGACGGTAGTGTTAATGACGGTAGTGTTAATGACGGGCGTGTTATTGACGGTAGTGCTAAAGACGGTAGTGTTAATGAAGGTAGTGTTAATGACGGTAGTGTTAATGAAGGTAGTGTTAATGACGGGCGTGTTAATGACGGTAGTGTTAATGACGGGCGTGTTAATGACGGTAGTGTTAATGAAGGTAGTGTTAATGACGGGCGTGTTAATGACGGGCGTGTTAATGACGGTAGTGTTAATGGCGGTAGTGTTAATGACGGGTGTGTTAATGACGGGCGTGTTATTGACGGGTGTGTTAATGACAGGCGTGTTAATGGCGGTGGTGTTAATGACGGGCGTGTTAATGACGGGTGTGTTAATGACGGGTGTGTTAATGACAGGCGTGTTAATGACGGGTGTGTTAATGACGGTAGTGTTAATGACGGGCGTGTTAATGACGGGCGTGTTAATGATGGGTGTGTTAATGACGGTAGTGCTAATGGCGGTAGTGTTAATGACGGTAGTGTTAATGACGGGTGTGTTATTGACGGGCGTGTTATTGACGGTAGTGTTAATGACGGTAGTGTTAATGACGGTAGTGTTAATGACGGGCGTGTTAATGACGGTAGTGTTAATGACGGTAGTGTTAATGACGGGCGTGTTATTGACGGTAGTGCTAAAGACGGTAGTGTTAATGAAGGTAGTGTTAATGACGGTAGTGTTAATGAAGGTAGTGTTAATGACGGGCGTGTTAATGACGGTAGTGTTAATGACGGGCGTGTTAATGACGGTAGTGTTAATGAAGGTAGTGTTAATGACGGGCGTGTTAATGACGGGCGTGTTAATGACGGTAGTGTTAATGGCGGTAGTGTTAATGACGGGTGTGTTAATGACGGGCGTGTTATTGACGGGTGTGTTAATGACAGGCGTGTTAATGGCGGTGGTGTTAATGACGGGCGTGTTAATGACGGTAGTGTTAATGACGGGCGTGTTAATGACGGTAGTGTTAATGACGGGCGTGTTAATGACGGGCGTGTTAATGACAGTAGTGTTAATGACGGGTGTGTTAATGACGGGTGTGTTAATGACGGGCGTGTTAATGACGGTAGTGTTATTGACGGTAGTGTTAATGATGGTAGTGTTAATGATGGTAGTGTTATTGACGGTAGTGTTAATGACGGGCGTGTTAATGACGGGCGTGTTAATGACAGTAGTGTTAATGACGGGTGTGTTAATGACGGGTGTGTTAATGACGGGCGTGTTAATGACGGTAGTGTTAATGACGGGCGTGTTAATGACGGGCGTGTTAATGACGGGCGTGTTAATGACGGGTGTGTTAATGACGGGCGTGTTAATGACCGTAGTGTTAATGACGGGCGTGTTAATGACGGGCGTGTTAATGACGGGCGTGTTAATGACGGGCGTGTTAATGACGGTAGTGGTAATGACGGGCGTGTTAATGACGGGTGTGTTAATGACGGGTGTGTTAATGACGGGCGTGTTAATGACGGGCGTGTTAATGATGGTAGTGTTATTGACGGTAGTGTTAATGACGGTAGTGTTAATGACGGGCGTGTTATTGACGGTAGTGTTAATGACGGTAGTGTTATTGACGGTAGTGTTAATGACGGTAGTGTTAATGACGGTAGTGTTAATGACGGTAGTGTTAATGACGGGTGTGTTAATGACGGGTGTGTTAATGACAGGCGTGTTAATGACGGGTGTGTTAATGACGGTAGTGTTAATGACGGGCGTGTTAATGACGGGCGTGTTAATGACGGTAGTGCTAATGGCGGTAGTGTTAATGACGGTAGTGTTAATGACGGGTGTGTTATTGACGGGCGTGTTATTGACGGTAGTGTTAATGACGGTAGTGTTAATGACGGTAGTGTTAATGACGGGCGTGTTAATGACGGTAGTGTTAATGACGGTAGTGTTAATGACGGGCGTGTTATTGACGGTAGTGCTAAAGACGGTAGTGTTAATGAAGGTAGTGTTAATGACGGTAGTGTTAATGAAGGTAGTGTTAATGACGGGCGTGTTAATGACGGTAGTGTTAATGACGGGCGTGTTAATGACGGTAGTGTTAATGACGGTAGTGTTAATGAAGGTAGTGTTAATGACGGGCGTGTTAATGACGGGCGTGTTAATGACGGTAGTGTTAATGGCGGTAGTGTTAATGACGGGCGTGTTAATGACGGGCGTGTTATTGACGGGTGTGTTAATGACAGGCGTGTTAATGGCGGTAGTGTTAATGACGGGCGTGTTAATGACGGTAGTGTTAATGACGGGCGTGTTAATGACGGTAGTGTTAATGACGGGCGTGTTAATGACGGGCGTGTTAATGACAGTAGTGTTAATGACGGGTGTGTTAATGACGGGTGTGTTAATGACGGGCGTGTTAATGACGGTAGTGTTAATGACGGGCGTGTTAATGATGGGCGTGTTAATGACAGTAGTGTTAATGACGGGCGTGATGATGAGCGTCTGACTGGAACTGTGCCGTGGCAAGAAAACGCTCGTCAACCAACATCTTCCTTTTTTCAAAACATATCCCCCGACTTCATTGAAACATCTGACGATTTGATAACCCGCCCTCCATAGACGATTAAATACGATATAATGTAGGTAACGATGTTGACGGGGGTCGTCTCGTGCCTGCGGCACTCACTCTGCGCGTTCCAGTGGATGTACATGGGCTGCCCGGGATCCTGGTGCAGCTTCAGGTTGTCCCACAGCATCTGTACCAGCACCAGCTTGCTGTCCTGCGATAGCAGCTTGCGGGGCACCTACACAGACACAAGCACGCAACAGGGTGCCCAAAGCTCAAGATCCCCCCCCGCATAGCCTCAACAGACTGTTTGGGGCAAGTGCTGTTAGCGGGTAGCACCGATGAAGTCTGGCACGGCACACGAGGGGGTGGGGTGGCCAGCACTACGCCCGGCCGCCTTTATATCCCCAGTGGTGATTTTTACACACCGCACCAGCTATTTATTTGAGGCCGAGTCGACCTTTGGGGAGGCACATGACCGGTTCAGATAATCGTCACTGGCGTTGACCGTGAGCGAGGATCGAACTCGGGTCGCCAGGTTCGTAAGGCAGCGCGCGCTAAACCGTTACACGCTGCCGCTCCCCACACCCGGCACATACACACACACACACGTACGTACGTACGTACAACAGCCAGCCACCTCGCGCGCGTGTACCTGCGTGCCCCGGTTGCAGTGCTCCGAGGCGAGCACAAGGCCGGGCAGGCTGCTGGGCAGGCCCAGGCGGCGGAAATACCACACGAGGTTCCAGAAGAGGATGGGGTGCTGGTCGACGAAGGGTGGCGAGCTCACCACCTGCTCGCCCTCGTTCTCCAGCAGCGACTCGAGCTCCTTGCGCAACACCAGCGGGCTCAGGTAGGGCACCGACACGGGCTCGGGGTTGCTGGCGCGACCCTCTATGCTCAGGCACTCCTGGGAGGACACACGCGACGACATGGGGGGGGGGGCCGTGAGTGCGTGAATGCGTACGTGCGTGCGTGCGTACGCGAGAGCTGGCCGCACAATCATCCCCTCGCGCGTGCCTGCTGGCCTGAATTCGGTGCTCTCAAACAGAACTTTCTCCAAGAGCCGCGCCCACGGCACCGCGTTGACGAGGCGCAGGCAGTGTGGGGGGCCGGCGGACACGGGGGCGGGGGGGAGGGGGGAGCGGCGGGGAGGGGCGGGCGGGGGGGAGGGGGGGGTGCGGTACCAGCGAGCCGTTGAGGTTGTTGGGCAGGCTGCCGGTCATGGTGGAGGTGCCGAGCGGCGCCCGCAAGCCGGGCCCCGTGATGTCGGCGAGCGGAGTGCGGGCGCTGGCGCTGCGCGGGATGGGGACGCTGAGCGGCACCGACTCCACCCTCCTTGCTGGCGCCTTGCCGTGCTCGGGGGCAGGGCTGGTGTACACGCGCGTCCAACGGTGATGGAATGAGTTGAATGCCCTTCATTTAACCAGGCTGGAGTCGACTGGGGTTCGGTGAATGGCGATCATTATCACCACCACAATTCATATTAGTCTGTGGGTCAAATGTAATGTATGGGTCTATTGTAAGTCTATTGGGCCTATATAAATATATGGGTGCTGTATAAGTCTATGGGTGCAATGGTAGCTAATGGTCCCAAGTAGGTCTACATGCACCATATAGGAGTTTTATCAGTTTCATAAAAGTATAAGACACTTATTCAAGTGTATTAATGTTTTACGAGTATATGTGTTCTTTATAAGTCTATTTGATCTACGTATAAGGGTATCGTGGACCAATCATCATCCATCAACAATGTCAGTCGTTTGTCACTCCCATGCTGGAATAAATCCTTGGTCATTAAAACACTGCGCATTCACAATCCACCACCTTTCCTACTTGCGATCCATCCCCCATCGCTCCGTATCCTATAAGCGACACCGACAACCACCAGCCTTTATCCCCACCTTAAATGCGCGCCAAATATCAACACCTAACGACAAGGTCAATAGGTCACCTGCTGTCCTATGTAGTTTCCCCATGGTAAACGCACGGCATGGAACCGCCCTGGCGGTACAACGACGACAGTGGGGGTTCACCTGCTGTCCTGCGAGGGAGTCACGGTGAGCGTGATGAGCGGATCGATCGCCGTGGCCACAGCGGCACGGGGGGGTGGCCTCCCGTGCGAGAGTGGCGCCTCGTGGAAGCCTGCCGTGCCGACGCCCTGCACGCTCTCCATCGATGACGACGGCTTCAGACAATTCCTGCGGTGACCACGGGGGGGGGGGGGGGGGGGGGAGGAGGCAACGTGGCATGAACGATGCGTCCGTGGCGCGATCGTGAAAGCGGCCATCGCTACATCCCTACCGATTGCAATCCAGATCCCGTACTAACTGCAGCCGTAATCTAATCCTGTAGCGGTCTAAGGTCCTCATCCCAGTCTAATCTGCGTCACTATTCCCTAAGATACCAGGGTTTAAGTCCCTGCTAAGTTGCTGTGCAATTGACGATTCTCTCCCTCTGAAAACCCAGCCCCAACACCGGCGGGGCCCACAGTTGACTCCCGCTCAGGATTATTATTTGTTGGTTTTTGTATCCGTCTCCCTCGCCGGCAGAGTGTGTGTGTGTGTGTGGCGGCGTTACCTGCCGGGCCCGCGCATGTCCCGGATCTCGATGTTGAGGAAGGGCACGAACGTGGAGCCGCAGAACGGACACGTGGTATTGAGGTTCGAGTCGTCGGCCATCCAACCGGCCATCACCTCCTCGTCGTACACGAGCGACTCGCATGCCCGGCAGCGCGAGCAGCTCGAGATGAGGACCTGGGGGGGCGCGAGGAGTGGGGAGCGACATAGAACCGTGTAGCGTGATGATGGGGCCGTGAAAACAGCAGACGTCTCACACCTTGGGCGAGTCAAGATTTGCACGGTCGACATCACGGAGAGCTGTAGGCCTCCGGTTAAAACAATTCCAGTTTTAGAGAAATTAGAAGGTACGTAACAGTTAATCGACGCATCGGGGTTAAAACTTATTTAAACGCTCGCGACAAATGAGCAAAATCTTGCGGCTCAAAATATATTACTTACAATGTATGCAAATTGTATCCTCGTGGGCTTTCAGAACGAGGAACGGGATACCCAATGCCCGCAGTTGTCACGAGGCTGACTAGTTTGAAACGACCTGCAGATGATATTTATCCGTCGAGCAATGCGTTTCTAATGAGGGCCTCTTTCAGTGGCAGAAGTGGCCGAGGTGTCTGCGTTCATGTGTGGCCCGCCAAAGGTGGTGAACATCCTGTTTTTCATGATCCTGTTTTCCCCTTCATTTAAGAAAAGGTTCCCACCCCCCTCCCCACCCTGGCTTCAGGCTAACAAGCGAAAGAGAACAAAAGCAAGCAAGAGACCGCAGACGGCAGTACAAACAAGGCAAAAAGAAAAATCCTTAAACTTGATTTGAGTCACGACCCTGCAATAAAAAACACACTTGTCATATTGCCAGAAGGGGCGAGGACTAATGGATACTGCACTTTCAAATCTAGAATTAAATGAAAATCTTTTAGAACTGCTTTTTGTGTATAGTTTGTTGTCCTTCCCCCGCACCTCCGATTAGCATGGTTGGCTACGTACGGTGCGAAAGATGTTACACACGCATACACACCGAAGTCTGGTCTCATTGCGGCTAGAGGATGGAACCGCTCACCTCCATGGCGAAGTTTTGGAAGATGTTGCTGCTGCTGCTGCTGCTGTTGTTGTGGCGTGCGGAAGGCGATTCGGCTCGCCTCTGTGCCGCGCCACCCGTGCCGGCCACCGGTAAGCTGTCTGTACAAAGACGGTGGCGGTGGAGAGGATGGGGCGATGGCTTACAGTGTGTTTACATCAGTGATTCTAAAATAAAACTAAACAATTTCATATTTAACCAGGTAAAGGCCCACTATATAGCTTTTTTTCAGATGTGACCTGGCCACAAATGATTGCCCAAACGAAGTGGCTTATCACGCGGAAATATATCACAGCCAAATACTGTAAATGCACATTTTAAATGTGGAGGGAAATCGTCGCGACCACGGGGAGAACACGCAAACGTCCAAATATACAGCAGGCGTCAAGGGTCGGGATCGAACCAACGACCTCCTGCATACCAGGCGAGGTAGTTAACATCTCCTAGCCACCGTGGCGCCCCACTGCGTGTGCAGTCTGGCTCGTTAACACGGAAGAGACTCCCCCGGCACGGCGGCGGCGGCGGCGGCGTCACCACTTGCCGATGTGGAAGCTGGAGGCAGCGACGGCTCCGGGCATCTCGTCGGGCGAGCCGTGCTCCTCCCCAGCGAGCGTCGTCGCCAGGCCAGGGGTCCCCCCCCACGGGCGTGGGGCTGCCGCCATCCCAAAGCCAACGTCCACCCGGCGCTCATTCTCTGCTGCGCCGTAGTCGCTTGGGCTCGCCTCCGAGTGAGGCAGACCCGTCGCCGGATCCTGGGCGAGAGGACACGGAAAAAAAAAAACAGACGGTTTGGCCTCGATTGGTCGTGTGTTTATTTATTTCATTTTAATTGCACTCCCATTGTCACCACCACCACGTTGTCATGAGACAAGGCGATTTACACGTCGACCATGCATTGTTTTATGCTCCTTGACGAGATCAGCAAGGCACTGTGGCTCACTTGTGGCAAGCACTGCCAGAGTTTCAAACAGAATCTTCTTCACCTTGCCGTAAGACACCGCGAGCACAATTCAGATACAAAAAAAGGGGTAAAAAAAACAAACCCCCCCCCCCCCCCCCCCACCGCCGCAACGAGACGCGGTAGGCCTCACCACGCCGTGCTCGCTGTAGCTGGACGCCAGCTTGTTGTACCACTTGCTGGCGACGCCCACCACGCCCGTGGCCGCCAGCTTCACGCTGCTCTTGAGCACGTCCATACGCGGCCCCGTCAGCAGCTGGGAGCTCGCCCAGCTCTGGCTCACGAGCGCCCGGTCTGGGGACACGCACGGCGACACGCAGCCAGCGCCGTCAGCCAGACCGGCAGCAGCAGCAGCAGTAGCGCGAGCATCACTGTCTGGACTCGCAATATAATTAGCATTATCAGCAGCACCAACAGCAAAATTGCCACAAGCAGCCAGAATCAATTTAACTAAACACCGGCAGCTAGACGAGTGGACAGCACTAAACAAATAAGCATCGCTGCCAGCAGAACCAGCAGCTGGGAGGTTCACCCATCTCTGACTACAAGGACACCCGGGGTCTGGAGAAACACGGACACCCGCTGCCAGCACAGTCAAAGCAGCAGCAGCAGGAGCAGCAGCAATAGACAGAGCAACACAAAACAGCAGTACCAGAATCACCGGCATCACCATTATCAGCTGGCAGCTCATTCAGCTCGAGCTCACGAGAGCAAAAAAAAAAAAAGTCTACAGAGACGCACAGCCACCCATAGCCAGCACAGTCAGAGCCAACCCGGCAGGAGGGCTCGTTGTCGGACCAAGATCACCAGCCGGCGCACCTGTGTTGGGCTCCGCTTCGGGCTGCGGGTTGGGGAAGGTGAGCGACCGTGGCACGCCACGCTGCGGGGATCGCGACGGGAGACTCAAGCGGCGCTCCAAACGCGTCGCCCTCACGCCGCGCTTCGGCTCCACGCTGGGCGAGCGGCCGACCTCGGCCGTCGACGTCATGTACGTCTCGATCTCCTCCGCGAGGTTGCGCGGGACCGACGGGACGAGGGACTGCACGGAGCCGGAGCTGTCCAGAGACTTCACGTCCTCCGTCTCGGCCACCAGCAGGGACAGCGGGTCGAAGCCCGCCACCACGCTCTTCCGTTCGGCCGGCCGAGTGCTAACCGGTAGCAACGACCCCGGTTTCGCTTCCAGGTCGTCGACGCAGTCGCCGCCGCCGGCATCCTTGGTCAACAACAGTGGAGCGGAGCTGACCCTGGCTTGTGGCTTCTGCGGAGAAAGCGCCTGCGGTAGAGGAGGGGGCGGGGGGGATGTCTTTGTGCCCTGTTGTGACTTGGAGGGGCCGACGACCTTCACGGGCTCCGAGTCCAGGTCGTCGAGGCTGAATATGTCAGCCGAGTCGGACTTCTCCAAGTGGGGCCTTGGTTGTTTCTCGGTGGTGAAGTGCTGTGAGCCCAAGTTGTCCGTGCTGGCTGCTAGGGTGGAGGGCGGGGTGGGTGGTGGGTGTAAAAAGACAATCCGGTTAATGAAAAACAGTTCTCAATTATTATTACCAAGTAAAAAAAAATCAGGTTCAATCTGAGTTTCAGCCGCCCGTGCAGGCGAGTTGATGTCCTCGACCTGATCAAACATTTTGTATCTCTTTTAACTTTGTTAAGTGACGTAAAATAAACCAAACTTGGTTTGATTTATAAGTGATGAAAACTTTTCAGAGTATATACAGGTGTGACCCTCATGCAGATATCCAACTCTCATCCACTATCTCTCTGGCCTCTCTGTTCATGTGGTATGAACAAGCGACATTGGCCCAAAACATCGCCTATTATATACTTTTCTTTGTAATCGATGAAGGTGTTGAGTTCTTTGCTATTTTTACGTGGAAAAATGGGGCCGAGTGAAGTGTGACTCCATGGATAGTCCCACGTCATCATCTTTTTTTTTGGAGGGGGGGGGGGGGAACTTTCTCGAGCAATGCTCAGCTCAAGAATTCCCAAAAGCACAACTTGTTCATCTCACAACAACATTAAAACAATAACACAATCGCAAGGTGACCGCAGGAAAAAAAGTAATAAAAAAAAATACCCAGATAGGATAAATAATGCGTGCGGCATGGATCGTGCAGCACTTTCCTACAATCGTTTGTCTCCGGAAGTATTTAAGCGAGCGGTGTTAGAGCTGATGGGTATCTGTCAGGGCACATTTGCACGTTCGCACATAGTCCTTTTAGCTCTGGCGTAAGGTCTCTAAGTTTTGTGCAACCCTTTAAGCGTTGTTTAAACACTCATCATGAAGCGGTTATCCTGGATAACTAATTATTTAAATTATTATCAATGCGGCCGGTTTTGTCTAGGCTACATCCCTAAAGGCAAAACGGCTTTTTGTCAGTTTAACACGTAAGGCTTTCGCGACCAATATTATTAATAATAAAGGTTTTTGGGTTAGATCGCGTTATTTATAAATGTGTCGTAACCCTCCACCACCCGACACGGCCAATCAGCAAAGTGTCACGTTGACAAAAGACAAATAGTTCACTACTTTAGCCCACAGGTGTGTTGAAGAGTGAATCCACATTTACAGCTTTTTGTGTTTAATTCATTGTCCTCCTGCACCTGCGATGAGCATGGGTGGCTATGTATGGTGCAAAAAAAGTTCAATATACATACAAAACATTTTATTCTACAGGTTCGTTAGCATTGGATCACCTCTAAGAGATGTACAGTGTTCCCCATTGCGGATGGACAGACAGAGCTAATGCCTGAACGCTTTCAACCAAAAATTTTGATTTAAAGCTTTCGTGACTGCAGTAATTCATATTCTTAGCTCTTTCGGTAAAGTCACGTTGAAGGGAAACAATAATAAATATTTTATTATTTTATTGATTCCCTTCAACGTGACTTTACCGAAAGAGCTAAGAATATGCTTTCAACCTTAGTTGGAAAGTGTGAATTAAACCAAATGATGCATTGTACATCTTCACCCCCATTCTATATTGGGAAGCAATAAACACGTTTCTCATAACCTAATTTACACTTCCCCTAAAAATACCACATTCCTGATCATTGCCCCCTATGCAAGTAGTGCAGTCGGCCCATCCACCTTTCTCAGTGTCTAAGCTAAAACTGAACAATTTTTTACTTTACCAGGTAAGGCTCACGGAGCTATACAGCTATTTTTCAAAAGCTACCTGGCCAGAAAGTAATAGCCCAATGAAATGGCTCACCACGTGGAAATGTATAGCAGCCAAATACTCCAAACGTATGTCTCTAAATGTGGAGGGTAAAACCAGAGGACCTGGAAAAAAAAATCCACGTGACCAAGGGGAGAAGAACATCCATGACCTCGTGCATACCCAGGCGAGGTAGTTAACATCTCGCCACCTGGCCGCGGGCTTGCCTCCCTCCCTGTCATGCGCGTTCTGTATTGGGCTCTTGTTTTTAAACAACGATAACACGAATACAAAAAAATATCACACCGAGCGCGACCGCCTACCGGCGTTCGCCTCCACCCCGGCGCCACCGCCGTCGACCCGGCCTTCGGCTCGCATCGCGGCCGTGAGGATCCTCTCGTCGGCGCCCATGAAGCCCGCGGGCATCGCATCGTCCAGGCCGGGCCGCCCGCCCAGCACGCAGCTCCGCTCGGCGAGCGTCCGCTGCCGCTGGAGGGGGGGCGGCGCCGTCCCGTCGTGGACGCTTCGTTGGCGCCGCCGGCCTGCCGAGGCCTTCCCGCTTCCGCCGCCGCTTCCGCCGCCGCCCCCGCCGCTTCCCGCGCTGGCAGGCAGCGGGCCGTCCAGGAAGGAGGGCTCGTCGTACGAGCCCTGGCTCGTGAACAGCAGCCCCGCCGTGCTGCCTGCGGACCCACGCACGAGGCACATCGCCGCGACTGTGAGCGATAAAAAGATTAAGCCTTTGCCGTTCTTCCCATTCTGTTCCGATGATGTACGTGTACATCGCCAAAATTAAACCCGAGTAAAAAACTAAAATAAAGAAACTTAATCAAAGCCGAGGCTTCCCAAAGGCCATGCAGGAGGGCGTGTTGCACAGTTTGGTGCCAGCTATCATAGAGTTTAGTCGTGTCGCTATGGTTCTCTGCGGAGAGTACAATGTCTTTAAAAACAACAGCGCTACGCCTCTCTAAATAAATAAACGCTGAGCCGCTTGCGACTTGCAGACGTCTTGGAGCGGGTTAAGTGTACCCACCAAAATAAAAATGAATTCCCCACAGATGTTTTGGGTGAAAAGGGACTTAAACTGATAATTAATTCCAAACGAGTTTGAAATTCCTCCATGTATCGGTTCATCATTATTAGTAACGGACTTTGTGACGATTGAGCCCTCTCAACACTTCTACGAATCCATCGTAACCACAGGATTTGCATCAACCAATCAGAAGCATCCTATCTACTTCCCTACGTGCCATGCACGTTCTCAAAGACGTCCGCGATCATATATAAATGGAAAATAGTTTCATCGCGCACGCAATTCGATGCATGTATTGTGAAAATATATCGTTGTTAATTGAGAAATCCTGACAATCCTAGTTATTAGTGTCTATACATTTGCATTAAAAACCTCTCAGCAGTACAAGTTAACTTGTTTATCAATCATTTTTTTCGTGACCAGGAAGATTCTTTTGAAATTAACATCCAGTTATGTAATTTAATGTAAAGCCATTTAGGAAACGCAAACAACATTGTTTAAATTTTGATTTAAAGCTTTCGTGACTGCAGTAATTCATATTCTTAGTTTTTTCGGTAAAGTCACGTTGAAGGGAAACAACAACTAAGAATAACATTGTTTAATTTAACATCTCTAAATTAAACAATTTTTAAGGTCTCTCTTCAAGTGGTTGAACTCATGGTTTCTATTCTTGAGTTTGTCGGGTAGAGAGAATTCGAATTCTGGCTATTACCTGATGAAGCTGGTTATAATCACCAGTGAAAAGTCATACTGAAATTGTCAATTTTGTGGGTTTACTCTCCAACACACCGGTGTGCTCCAGTAGTAACTAATTGGCACGTTTTCTTTACGTGACAAACCTTACAAACAACGGCTGTGTCGGGTGGTGGTGGGTTTAACGACACATTTACATTTAAATTATCTAACCCAAAAAAGCCTTCATTATAGAGAATTCCATGTGACAGCGCCCGCCTTCTGAAAAGCACGTTATCGTGTATGCAATGCAATAGCGTGCAAGACAACGTGTAATCATACACGTCAATATATCAGGAAGACGATGAACACGACGGTACTGGGAGAAGCCAGTGGAGCGACCGGAGCTCTGGGCCGACAGCGGTCCGTGGGTTTATGGCTTCGGTCTTCTAAGGAAGACGGCCTCGTCGGTCCCACGTTGACGGCCCGGCGCTAGAGACTCACGGGGGATCACATCCCAGTTCTTACCGGCGCCACCCATCACGTCACCCATGCTGCCCGAGTTGTCGAAGCTGCCGCACGACATCTTGACGATGCTTCGCACCGAGTGGAAGCTGGGCCGCTTGTGCTCGAGGTCGGCGTGGTCGCCGGCAGCATCCGTGCCATCGCTTGCGTCCGCCTGTGGCAGCTGGTCCCGGCTGCCTTGCCGGCTGTCTCCGTCCGACACTGTGTAGAAAGACAAAGATCCCCCACCCGTGTAGCCTTAACAGACTGTAGGGGAAAGTGCTGTTAGTGAGCAGCGCCTATGAAGGCTGGCGAGGCACACGAGGAGGGTGTGTGGCCAGCACCACGCCCGGCCGCCTTTGTCTCCCAAGTGGCGATGTTGACACATCGCACCAGGTACTCATTTGAGGTTGAACCCAAGACCGGTTCAGATAATCGTCACTGGTGTTGGCCTTGAGTGGGAATTGAACTCGGGTCGCCAGGTTCGTAACCGCAACATTACCGCTCCCCCCACTGTGTACACACACACACAGGCATACATACGGCAGAGCCAAATTAGTCAACTGGGATTACACGTAGCTATCATTGCCTCCTACTCCCAGACCAAGTGATAAGCCACATCCTTGCTCCAAGGAACAGCAGCCACTGAGGGTACCCTTTAAAATGGGTGAGATGCTGTGTGATGTAAGTCGCTTTATCACGCGTAAAGCCTTCCAAGATGCCAAAGGAATAAAATGTACTCCAACAACAACTAATTATTATTATGTAATGTACACAACAGCAGGGCTGCGCAGCTGCTTCTAGGAATTTACCGATGTAACAATTTGCCCATCCGCTTCACTTCTGCTACTGTGTGTGATCGGCGTTGGGTCACCGCATGCATCGTGAGCATAAGAATCAATTTGAACAACTTTACTGTGAATTAAACCCATTCAGATGTTCTTCTGAAAAAACAAGCATTCGTCGGATGAGCTCATGCTTGTTTATACAATTCTCCGTAATCAAACCCCAGCTGTGGTTGTGTGTGTGGGAGACTTGACAGCAGGGTCATGACTCACAAAGTTGACATGACATCACTCAGTCGGGGTGACATTTCTCAGGTTGCTTAGCGAACGGTGAGAACAGCAAGAGTTTATTTACGGAGGCTCATGGGCTTTGAATAAGATGCCTGCCAGAGCGCTCCTACTCATCCTCCAACCGAGGCTTCATGGGAAAAAAAAACTGGAATGCCTAGCCCACCAATTGAAACGTTCCCATTCCGTGCCATCCTACGACGAGCTCTTTGAAATTATGAATCCGTGAATGTCGTCTCCCGTTCCCCGCCATTCGTTCTGTAATGTTCGTTCCCATTCTGTTGGGAATCCCGCGAGATCTGACCCGTGTCTGTGTCCAGTGCTTGCCGAGCTGCATCGGCTTCCGGTTGCCGAACGAATACATTCGAAGGTCGAACTCATTACACACAAAGTGATTGCCGCAATTGAACCACAATACCGTACTGATCTCGTCATGGAGCATAAACCGTCAAGCGAACTCCGGACATCCTCGCAGCAGCGACTTCTAGCTCGCCATCGAACAAAGACGGTCGCCGCATTGCGCGCTTTCAGATGCGCTTCTGTTGCCGTCTGGAACGCTCTTCCTTCCGATATCAAGAAGCCACTGGAGCTATGCACTTTTAAATAATCTAGATTGAAAAGTCATTTCTTGAGAACTGATTTTTGTGATTAGTTTGTCGTCCTTCCCCCCACACCTCCGTTTACCACGGTAGACTACTTATGGTGTGAAAGAAGGGAGAAATGCTACGTGCGTCTGAAAGCTGCCTCCTTCTCACACGACAACCCGGTGGAACTGCTTCTGAGATTCATTCATTTGCATTTCTAACCTCACTCAGAGGTACATGTGTTGACATCGCCTGCCATCACATTCAGCAAAGGTCAATCCACTGGTGGATGAAGGCCTTCTCAGGCAGGTTTCCTCCTGCATATATACAAACAAAAACGAAGATCCTCCGTATAGCCTGACCAGACTGTAGAAACAAGTGCTGTTCGCGAGCACCGATGAATGCCGGCATGGCACACGAGGGGGTGAGTGGCCAACACCAGACTCGGCCGCCTATGTCTCCTCAGTGGTGACGTTTACACATCGCACCAGGTACCCATTGGAGGCTGAGTCGACCTAGGGGAGGCCCAGGACTGGTTCAGATAATCGTCACTGGTGTTGGCCGTGAGCGAGAAATCGAACTCGGACCGCCGGGTTCGTAGCGCGGCGCGCTAACCGCTACACAACCGCTCCCCCGCACATAGATATGTACCATAGAACATCGCTCTCCAATTTCCAACGAACCCCACCCCCACAAGCAGGGAATCCCGCCGAGACCGCGGCGCCGCCTCTTACTTGAGCTACTGTCACTCTCGCGGAGGACTTCGCCCGTCCGCAGGCCGCCCGGCGCCGCGCCCGAGAGGCGGCTCGCCATGGAGAGCAGCGCCTCGCCCTTCTGCGCGTCCTCCTTGGACAGCGAGTTGTAGCCCTGGTCCGAATGGCCTCCTGCAATGCCAAGCCGGCCATCGAACGTCCCCTGTTAAAATCTCCACTCGCGTTCCGGGGGTACACCGGAGGACTGTACCTTGGGACGATGGGGCAAGTCTATGGGTCTCTGCGAGTCCATTGGTCTCGATGTAATTCTGTGGGCTTCCACGCGAGTTTGTACCTCTCTTATAGGTCTGCACTTGAGTTTATTCGTCTCTACGCATGTCTACGAGTCTCACCTCAAGTCTGTGGATTTCTATGCAAGTTTACGCATCTCTATGCAAGCCTGTGGGTCTCTATGCACGCCCCCTTCCCAACCATACCTGTGCTGCTCACATCCTCGGCTGAGCCCACGTGCGCGAGCTCGTTGGTGGAGGGCACGTGCTCCGAGCCGTGCGCGTCCGCGCCGCTCTCCAGGCTCCCGTGGCTGCCAGCGTCACTGCCGTCTGCTGCACGCGGAGGGTCGAAGGGCACGCGTCACAACCCACGACACACTGCACAAGCCTAATGATTGGTAAACATGTCCTATGTGAATGAGAGAGCACCGATTCAAAGTGTTCAGGTGTCCCAGAGTTAACAGATTTCGTGTGTGTGCGTACATGTGTCCACGTCTCATGTGATATAGCAAGTGGTGATTTAAATTGTGTTTCATGATGGGGAGTCGTGGCAGTCAATTTAACACGTAGGCTTTCATTACCAATATCATCCATCCCTAACCTAACAAAAAAACTATTATGGTGGCATAGTGTCCGTGCGGTACTGCCTTCCGAACCTGCTGACCAGAGTTCGATTCCCAGCGATGGCTAACATCAGTGGTGATTATCTGAACTGGTCCTGGGCTTCTGCTAGTTTGACTCTGCCTCAGAAAAGTGGTGCTGCATGTAAACATGAGCACGGTGGAGACAAAGATGCTGGCAACACTACCCCCTTGTGGTCCTGCCAAACGGCACTATAAGGTCTGACACTGGTGAGACTAGGCCCTAAAGAAGGCTGTCTCTGGAGTAGGCCAGTTAGTTTCAAAGACAATGCATATGTAATTATCAGAGCATGTTTGTTTGCATGTTCACCACAAGTACGTGTGGTTAATGCAGTACATGATTACTTGGAAAAGGTTTCTATTTGGCGTCTGAACATCTAAACACATCCTGTTTTATTTCCAGAAAGGGTAAAACCTATTCTTCTTTTTTCATACTTGTTCCAACAGTCTGTTTCAAGGCTAAACGGGAGATCTTTGATTCGGCCCACGTAACAAGGGAAGGTAGTGTGTCCGGGACAATCCGAGGTGTGTATCACTAATAGCTTTGGGTGTTATGAATTATTGCGGCTTCCGCTAAGCTGAAGTTAATCGATGATAATGCTGTTTGGGAGAAAGTCTTGGGGTTGTACAGTTTGGTGTGGACTGCAACAACGGGGCAATAATGTTTGCATTTGCAGCAACTTTGTCCAAAGGTATTATTCAGCTGATCATAATATTGCTGATAGTCCATTTCATGATGGTCACACGACTGCCAGGGCAAAAGACAAGACTCCTAGACAGTCAGATGACTCGAGAGATAGACGGCTAGACAACAATATGACCAATCCGAGTATGGTATCCTGGGTTGGGTTGTTTTTTCGAACTGCATATTGGGTCATTTTTTTACAACGACTGAAGATGCCCACACAGTTGTGCGCAGCTGAAAGCTTGAGGGGTGATGCTCAACACAAAGCCCAATGTGGAAGACCGCACTTGGATTACAAGATGCCGTGAAAACGTACGTGTCACAGTTATTCTAGGTGGCCAGATGCACCCAAGAGGCAGTCATTCAGACGATACGACTGCCAGAAGGTGCAACCATCAAGCGGCCAGATCACATGGCTGCCAGCAGGTCTGGATACCAGAAAGTCAGATGGTGGCCTGATGACCTGCCTGCTGGAAGATTTAACTACCGGATGGTCAGATGGCCGGATGATTTGCATGCTGAAAGGTTTAACTACCGGATGGTCAGATGGGGTGGATGATCTGCATGCTGAAAGGTTTAACTACCAGATGGCCAGATGGCCGGATGATCTGCATGCTGGAAGATTTAACTACCAGAAGGCCAGATGGCTGGATGATCTGCATGCTGGAAGGTTTAACTACCAGATGGCCGGATGATCTGCATGCTGGAAGGTTTAACTACCAGATGGCCAGATGGCCGGATGATCTGCATGCTGGAAGATTTAACTACCAGATGGCCAGATGGCCGGATGATCTGCATGCTGGAATATTTAACTACCAGATGGCCGGATGATCTGCATGCTGGAAGATTTAACTACCAGATGGCCAGATGGCCGGAAAATCTGCATGCTGAAAGGTTTAACTACCAGATGGTCAGATGGCCGGATGATCGGCATGCTAGAAGTTCTGAACACGAGACACCACCCAGACGGTCCATCATTCCACCCGACAATGTGGGTGAATCACCGGTTGACGGGAGGCGTTTGCGCAGCGTCTGCCGGAACTGCACCACGCCGTGCAACACATTCCGGACCTTCGTCCACAGGAAGTAGCCGCCCCGGTTTCCGGAGGGCCACGTGCTCTCGAGGACGGCCTGCGGACGCCACACGAGGAAGGGGAAACATACGGGGCGCGTCTTAAGACACGTCACTGAAAATCTCACACAGCGGTGAATTAAACACATGTAACGGGACACCCTGCAGAATGAGACATCACAGAGCTACCTTCAAGATCCCCTTTACGTGATTTTTTTTGTCCACAGCGGAGTGCTACGTTTTCCCGTACATTTTGCAATAGAGAGAAATGTCAGTCACATAGCAATCAAACTGGATTCTCCTTTTGAGTCTGTGGGTCTCCATGTCGGACAATGGATTTTCCACTTAAGACACTGGCGACCGGGCTTAGACCATCAACTTGCACTACACACTATTATATCACCGGTAGCCGAGACTCAAGATTCAAACCCAGAGCATCTCGGCGATTCCGCAGATTTCTAAGCCCCGAACCGCCCACCTTGTTGTAGAAGCCGTAGGTGATGGCGTTGGGCTGCACGCCCATTTTCTTCATCTCAAAGAGCACCTTGACGGCGAGTACCGGGTGTCCGTACAGGCCGCACAGCTGCATCAGCACGCGATAGCACACCTACAGCGTGCAGAGCGGACACACGGCATGAGAACAACCAACGGGGGGGGAAAGGGTGTTTCTATTATGACTATGTTTGTGTGTGTGTGTATATTCATAATAAAGGTGTTTGGGTTAGATCGCGTTATTTATAAATGTGTCGTAACCCTCCACCACCCGACACGGCCAATCAGCAAAAAAGTGTCACGTTGACACAAGACAAATAGTTCACTACTTTAGCCCACCGGTGTGTTGAAGAGTGAATCCACAACATTTACATTTACAGTACTCAACCAGTGACGATTATCTGAACAGGTCCTGGGCCTCTCCTAGGTCAACTCAGCGTCAAATGAGTACCTGGTGTGGTGTGCAAACGTCGCCACTATGGAGGCAAAGGCGGCCCAGGTGTGGTGCTGGCCACCCACACCGTTGTCGTGTGCCATACCAGCCTTCGTAGGTGCTCGCTAACAGCACTTTTCCCAAAAGTATGTTAACGCTATACGGCGGGATCCTTTATCTTTGATATGTAAAAAAGGCTGATGTGCCACAACTTGTTGTCATGCTATTAGCTTTGTCCACCAACCCGGATTCTGGAATCGACAACATAATATGAAATACCTTTATGTCTGAGCATTTGAAATCCTATGAAAAGCCATTTGACTCGGTGGAAACCGATTAAGTCACGCAAGCACTCACAATGTATGTTATTATACAGCTGAGAAAAACAAAACGAGCTAGAGGGAACAAATGAGGAACCACGGACAAAACAACACAAACGGACAGACGCCACGCACCCACGCTGCAGACTCAACACGGACACGTACGCACAGCAGAGACTCAACACGGCCACGTGCACACGTACACGCGGACGAAGCTCGCGTCACCTCGTCGGGCGGCTCCAGCTTGTGCGCCTGCATGCGCAGCAGCACATCGTAGGCGGTGCGCAGCGCGCGGCTCTTGGGGTGCGTGACGCGCACGTACGACGGCAGGCAGATGAACCACAGGCTGTAGCAGTGGCCCAGGAGGCACTTGGCCCACATCTGCGGCATCGCCGAACACTTGCGTGCTTGCTTCTGCGCCGACTTGATCTCCTGGCGGAGGGCGACGTCAAACATTTTCGCGAGGGGTTTGTTTGCGTGTGACAAGACTCCGGCGCCTGTGATGGAACTTTTAGGGTGTCGGGACGATGCAAGGGCTCTCTCGCAGACTCTGCCAGGGCTCCCACTGACAGTGTAACGACTCTCCTTGTGTCTTTATGTACATTGAACTTCTTTCACACCGTACGTAGCCAACCGTGCTAATAATTGGAGGTGCAAAATAATTCACAGAGGTGGGATTTTAACCATTCGTAGAACTGGAATTTAATTTGCGTGCTGTGATCGGTGACCGGATTGAGACCACCAACTCACTACGTTTGAGACACTGACTTCATTACAGGAGGCTGAAACGCCGATACGAACCCAGAATCCCAGCGGTGCTAGCCCAGTGCTCTGATTAAGAGCCGACTCGGCCGCCTCTCTCGTCAGTGCAAGCAATTTCATTTCATTGCCCGTTAAAACACTTTTGAGGATTGTACGGACACAGGCGACAAGTGCTATTAATAGAAAGTTGCATACGTTGGATACGTCACTAACCACCAAAACACGTGTGAACACACAGCTGAGTAGCTCCGTTCACAGCTGTGTGTGTGTGTGTATGTGTGTGGAAAAGTCGTGCGACTCCGAGGCGTGTGTACCTGCTTGGTACGGCGAGCGAGCGCTGGGGCGGGGCTGTTGGGGCAGCTGTTCTTGGTGCAGCCCTGAGGGACTTTCAAAAGCCCCAGGGGCATCTCGAACAGCGAGCGATTAAGCACCGGGAAACCCGAGTACCTGGGGACAACGAAGCCACCGCATTTGAAATGAGGACGCGACAAAAAACGCACGTTAATGTGATTATTTTTGCTCCGTAACAAGTGAGGTGGTTTTGATTTTTGGGCTTGGCTAACATCGGCGGAGAGTGATATCTGAACCTGTCCTGCGCCCACACCAAACAAAGACCCCCCGTATAGCCTGAACAGACTGTTGGGGCAAGTGCTGTGAGCAAGCGCCTATTAAGGCTGGCACGGCACACGATGACGAGGTGTGGTCAGCATCAAGCCCGTGCAAGGTTGTTATTTAAGGCCGAGTCAACCTAATGGAGGCTCAGGAACCTTTCAGATAACAATCACCACTGACATTAGCAATGGCCGAGATTTTAACTCGAGTGGCCAGGTTACTAGTGAACCACGCCAAGCATTACGCCACCGCTCCCCTCCACGTGACAAACACGAAACACATGCATAGGCATCACACACGTTTAACAATCACGTACGTATGCATATTGAACTTCTTTCGCACCGCATGCAGCCAGCGTGCAAGTGCAATGCGTAACGACCTTAGTGGTGAAACCCTGATCGAGTTTCCAAGGGGCAAGGGTGGCGAGAGCCCTATAACCGCGCGAAGGGACCGCGCGCGGCCGCATGCGTCTGGTCGATTTGCCCGGCCTCACTTGTACGCGGGCTTGAGCGTGTCGGGCCCCGGGCCGGCGGGCGGCTCTGGAGGAGTGATGAACACGGTGTGCTCGCTGCGATAAGACTCGTCCAGCTCGATGAGTCGCACGTCGTCGGCCTTCTCCACGTCCACCTGGATGGACACGACGGCACGAAAAACAGGGACGGGGTCGGCAAGCTCGTCGCGTGTCGGGCTTCAAAGGAGGGGATGAGACATCGGAATGTTTATTTCATTACGGGAGGAGGAGCCCGATGAGCTATGAAGATCTTCTTCGCAGACGTCCAGGAGGTGCCGTCCGCGCTTGGCTGGGCCCAATTGATTTCGCTCGGCGTCGGATTTTTGGCCATGGCCAACACTGGTGGCGAGCGATAACACAACCTGTCTCAGGGCTCCTCTTCTCTTCACAAAACGTGCACCGACCAGCGTGGTGAAGTATGGTCAACACCCCCCGCAACCCCCACCCCTCCTACTGACATGGAGTGGGGAGGCCTTCATCCACCAGCGGATTGAGAAAGAGCTGTAAATTATTATCTTTAACAGTCAATCAAAATAAGTGTTTAAGAAGAGCATTAAATTACGTGGTTTGATTTTGGCTAAATATTAAAATGAATAAGTAACACAATAATCAGTACTTTGGCTATTACAATATATCATGACAATTCAAATCAAGAATCGATTAATCCCTTCCCAATCACGGAGAAGACAGTGCCCACCTAGTGGCTTCATAAATCATATGAAGCCTTTTGCATACGACAACATACGATCCCGAAACACGCGGATTCATATGCGAGCGCTAACACTCACCATGAAGTCCCTCTCCGCTCCCTTATCGCTGGTGAACAGCTTGTGCGGCGCAAGAAGGCGAGAGGCAGAGGAATTCACTTCAAGAGGAAGGGCCAAACAACGCGGACAGATGGCAGCACTTGCAGCGGTGGTGGGGAAGCTTTTCCCGTACCGAGCACCGAAATAAAACTCTCAAATACTTTTGGCGTGGGCCACACATGAACGCCTCAATCACTTCACTCATTGCAAGAGGCTCCGGGCAGTGTCGGAAGTGACCGAGCACGGTGATAGAGCTTGAAACTATTCCCCCCCCTCTAGCAGCCAATTAGTGTGGCTAAGAAGCTCACAGCGATGGAACGTTTCCAAGTGGCAGGCCTCATGGGTTCTGTGGGCCGTACGAGGTGAAGTCATGGGCCACAGGTTCCCCACCCCTGACTTACAGCCTCAGCAGTTCACATGCCACACGCATAGAATTTGTCCCGAGGCTCAGCGTTAACCTCCTGTCATCAGGAAACTGGTTCAGGGACAAGCCAACTGACCGATAGGGCAACTGTGGATATTGCATGCGCCAGGTGCTAGGCATAACATTATCTACCAACTCAATGATTAACATATATTATGATGGCCGCCATGCACGGAGAATAGAATATTGCGTGCGCGCACATCAATAATGCTAGATTGCCGATTGCTTTCTGTCATTGTTAGGCATACAAGGATACATTACACTCACGATACATGAATCGGATTTCATAAGAATCGATTATAAATTAATTGGCATGTACGTTATGCGATTGTTAGGCATACATTGGTTAAACGAGATCACCATGCTCGCGGCACGTGCAGCAAATCGTTGCCAACGATATGCGAATGCGACACCAAATATGACGGGAATGACAAACGCCGGACAAACGAGACGGGGGGGAAAAAAAAACAAACAAGAAAAACGAGATGGTACAAAACCGGGGAATGTAGAATGGGAAATTCAATCAAACTCAAATGATAAACCCGAATTAGTCGGGGATGGAGGGGGGCAGTTTAGTGGTTGCATGCCTGCCTGTGACTGCACCATGCACCCGGTCATGTTCCACTTCACACCTCTACGCGAATCGACAAAGCGTCACGATTTGGGGGGGGGGGGGGAGTCACGGCTCGATACACGAATCGATAAAGGTTTCCCCCTCGCTCTATGCGGGTTCGGTTTGTGCAATTTCACGTATACGCGGAAAAAGTATTTCTACCCAAAATCCGCGATATTATTCACACGACGGTGCGGACATTATGTGTGTACTACTGTATGTGTGCTACTCGGCAGGCAGCTGTCTCGGGAGGTTTCGCTTTGTGTGCCCCTTTTTTTTTTAAAACGCATCTACCGCATAAAGCGAAGGAAACCTGTATATACATATATTTGGGGACCTTTTTACAGACAAAAAAGGTCCCAAGATTTAGCTGCTCAGCCCGAGCTATAAATACTCTGATACGTGCATTTTTTTCGCCTTTTGGCGTTCTCTGGTCTGACACTGGTGAGACTAGGCCAATCAGCTTCAAAGACAATGCCGCATATATTACCAGAACATGCTCACCACAAATACGTGTGGTTAATTGAGACTTCATTCCTTGCAAAAGGAATCTATTTGGTGTTTGAACATCTTAACACCTTTTTTTATTGGCAGAAAGGGTTAAGCCTATTCTTATTTTTCACACGTATACTTTTTGTTGTTGCTTTATTTGCGCCGTCTCGAACGACTCGTGACTCGCTGGTTCCACGAGACATATGCCGAGTGACAGATGGAGGGCCGAGCTGGGCGAGGGGAGGCCTGGGTGGGGGACTCCACCTTCTCCACGCAGTCGTCGAAGAAGGCGAGGCTGGCGTCCTTGTCGGTCACGAAGGAGCACTCCTCGATGAAGCGGATGAACATCTGCGTGCGCATCATCTGCGAGTAGAACTTGTTGTACGCTCGGTCGCGGCTCTTCAGGAAGCCTGCGAGTAACGATCGCATGGTCAACATTATCAGACTTGGTTGCCCGTCTCACGAGGCTTTCTCACTGCACAACGGTTCGCCCATGCCCGTGTGGATTGGCCAATGTCATGATTAACAAGAAACCTGCGGGCACCAACATTGACATATAACATCCAAAACCTATTTCGATGAACGATTTCATCGTTATTAATCTGACTGGCGATGCAACATTGGCATTGGTGACACTCGTCAACCACGCCGCTTTAAAATAAAAATATACAAAATTGCCGAGGTTTTGGGCAACGGCCCTTCTTGATAGCACAACGAACACAGCGGTCGAAATGTTAACTACCTCGCCACGTATACAGGAGGTCGTGGGTGCGATTCCGACCCGATCATGTGGCCAGGTCACTTGTGAAAAAATAGCTATATAAATCAGTGGGCCTTACCTGGTAAAAAAATAAAAATAGTTTAGTTTATATATATTTTTTCTTCCAATGCATCATCGCATCCACGGAGTCATCCGAAACTTACGCCACCCCTCCCACCACCCCACCAATCAGCTCCCACCTTGCAGGTCGAAGAGCGAGCGCGCGTCCGTGGCCTTCTCGGATGGCGCCTGTGTGATGGGGCGCAGGTACGTGCGGTAGCCCTTGAGGATGGAGGCCATGAAGCGCAGGAACGCCTCCTGGATCTCCATCTCCAGCTGCTGCTGTCGTGCGCGGCGCTTGAAGTCCAGGTCGAAGATGCCGGACTCGAGCACGGGGTCCTCCATGCTGCGGTGGTTCACTGCGCGGGGTCACACGGTGGAGTGGGGGGGGGGGCAGAAGGCGGCAATGGTGGCACGGCGGTGAGGTCAGGGACTCGCCGATGTTGCAACCGGAGAGATCGGAGCAGAGAGAGAAGATTACACGTCTGTGTGCACCTCACGCGGCATCTTATCCATCTAGGTCAGCGGTGGCCAACTGGAGTCTCCCGAGTTGCACGGGACTCTTTAATGAACCACATGCGGCGCTATCTAAGGGTCATAACGTTGAACGTACTAGCAAAGTAGCAAAGAATAATGAATGTCTCCCATGTTGTGTTGAAAACTGTCAATGATATATACACGTATAAATACTTGGCTCTTTGCAGAACTCATGGGTGTTTGTTTGCTCTTGGTCGGCTACAGGTTGGACACCCTGGCCTAGGTGAACATCATATTCATCTGGAAGACATCTAAAATATGATTTTCTAATCTCATTCTTATGAAGGACACCCTAGTGTTTCTCATGCATCGCATTAGTGAAGAGGCGATGCCTATCATCTATCCAAGGGATACGTGGAAATCACACACAACTGGAGAATATTTTGTTGAGAGGAAAAGTAATGATCTCATCTACTTGGGGGAAAAAATCAACATCTCATTTCTCTGCGGGTCACATCAATATTTCATTCATCTTGCTATTATATTCATATATAATACACATTTCATTTAAAGAGATAAGATTTCGATATCTGAATCATTTGGAAGTCAAATTTAAGTTGCATGCATCATTCATCTGAAATAATAATTAATTATCATTCAAATGTATAATGTGCTGTCCATCCTATTATCCCAATGCACAATGCATGAAGAGCAGGAAACAAAAACAGAACCAGGGGCAACCGACCCAACTGAAGAGGCCACTTTAAAGGGATGGGTTTTGAAAGCAGACAAAGCAAGAGACAAAATTCAAATTAATTTTGAGAACGCAGTTAATGGATCTGGAGGAGGACAACAACATCATCTGAAGGACACAGCAAGTGATGGTTGTCCACTACGTCTCCACTTACTCGCCACGATCTGCTGGTGGAGGTTGGTGAGGGTGTTCATCAGGTTCTTGCACGGTTTCTTGGGCAGCAGCCGCCAGTTCAGAGACTTCCTCTCCTCCGTCCTGGCAATCAGTCACAACCACAAACCCATCAGACTGTGGAAATGAGAGCTCTCCAGTCACTGCCGAAGCAAATGCAAATACCGAGCATGTGGTATCGGGTGCATTTATGAGATTTACCTGGGACTTCCGAGCATTTTTATTTTAGCAACGCGATTTTAATGGCACACTTTTTAATTAAAAATATTCAACGTGCACGGTTACACATGATGCCGTTTCATTACCATTAATCCCCAGCTACAAATTGGCAGCTGGCAAATACCACCGGGACACCGCCTGGGGGTTTTTTCCCAATTAAATTTTCATATAAAATGATTAACTTTTTTTTATACCAGTTTATATTTCTGAAAGGAAATAGTTGATGGGCTACTTTTAAATACAGCCTCTGTTCCCTGCAACCTATTGCAATTATACCAAGTGCATGTCTAGGAAATCCCATCAACCAGTGCGCCCCCACCACCCCCACGACGCCCCCCTCTCCCCGTGTCAGAAATTACTGCGGTAGACATTTTTCAAAGGACCTTTACATAACAAAGAAAAAACACATTATAGTGGCCTTTTTTAATCCTTCATGCGATCAACGGGATTGCACTTTCTCATTCACACCCTGCTATGACAATATCCACAAAACTAGTATTTAGGCAGAGGTCATATCTCAGAACTAGCTCTGTGATATCTGCTTCCGTGGGCAGTTCCCTAACGTTCAGTGGGGCTCTCACCATACAGGTGTTTTTTTCCATTGGCTATTGCGGAGCCTCAGAAGAACCAAACTGTGAAACGCTGGCCTTACAAGACAAGTCAACGCGGTTTGGGGCCAAGCAGGGCCAAGTGCGATGTTAATGACTATTTCGTCTTGAGTCGCGTCACTAATATGTTGTAGGTATGCTGCACTTCTTTTGCACCGTACGTAGCCAACCACACTTTTCGGAGGTGCGGGGAAAGGACAACAAATTAAAACACAAAAAAGCAGTTATAAAGAATTTACTTTTCAATCTAGAGTTGCGTCACTTGCAAATCGACTCGTTCACTGCAGTGTGTCGTCAGAAGCATGGGTCGGAGGTGTTCGGCATTGGAAAAACAACCCTGGCAGTTTCCCCGAGCTGCTGCAGCACATCCCCGGCATGGCTCAGTTGCACAGCGGCAAAAGAGGTGTCCGTCCCATTATACAGCCGGGATGATATTGGGCACATTGGGTGACATCCTGCACCGGGTCCACACTTGTCGAGCGGAGGCCGCCGCGGCCGCCGCGATTCCAATACCAATACCTGCCATTCGCCACTAAGTGACGGTGACGTCACCACGGCGTCTGTGTTAGACCAGGTGCACTTTGAGGCCACGTGAAGTGTCGAAGGTTCGCTGACAAGTCACGGGACAGACCCAGGTGCCATAGGTTTGCTGACTGAGATGACCGGTAGATGCACCAGCTGTACCCCCTACTGCGCCAACTTGCTGCATTTTAGCCGCCCGGCGCTCCGCTTGTGAGCGTCGCTCCTCTGCCCTCAGATGATGTTGTAGGGTGACTGCCTCCAACTGCCCAGTAGGGTACTTCACGAGCCTCCTCCGCCACAATTCCACACAGAGACACACGCGCGGGGGGAGGCCCACTCACTGCGAGATCGTGTTGGTGTCGAGGTCGACGCTCACGACGTCGGGCGGGGGCTCGTAGAGGTCAAAGTATCGCGAGTCGACGCCCACGATGAAGGGGCATGGCGCGCTCAGCATGTCGGCGAGCGACAGCGGGCACAGCGGGATGTAGGGGCACTGCCAGTGGAACGGGAAGATCATCTGCGGGGACAAGGAGGAGGGGGCATTAACGGGGAGGAGGCGGAGGTAGCGGTGATGTTGACCCCGTGGAGAGACAAGTACTGGCGTACGTTTGTCTTTTAAATGTTCTCGATAGAATTCACAAGGATTCCGTCCAATATGTTAAACCCACAATCAAGTTAAGTGGCATTGTTTACTAACATTCGATTTTATAAGATTCTATCTAGGATTCACAGCTAAAAGATAGATAATTATTGTATTGTTTTTAACACATCCCATCAGCTACATGGCATTGTCGGAAGTGTGTTTATTAAATTAGCATGATTGCTTACATATTTATGCTGAACTTCTTTAGCACCGTACATAGCCAACCATTCTAATCAGAGGTGCAATAAAATACATGCAATATTCAGTCTCGTCAGTTGAGTAAGTCTTGCTTAAACGAATGCTCTTGAACTGCTGGATGTTTACGTGAAGATGCTGCTCTCAGTACGATGCTCGCTTATTAAACAGGGTGCTTCAAACAAATGCTAACACGTACATGGGACTATCGTTTTTCATGGAAAAAAATAACGGATAATACTACACTGTAACATGATAACAAATGTAATGTTAATAGCTTCAAAAAGTCAAAGAGTCTCCACTTGTTTGCCATCATTATCAACACGTGCCTGGAATCTCTCCAGGTGGTCCTCCAGAGCCAGCACATTTTTTTGAAGCGCCCTGTATAAGGCGTGCTTATACCCAGCTTGTGCAGACTTTTCCCACAAAAGGCCATAGGGCGGCGGCGTTTAAACCTCCCAGAGGGGGGGGGGCTGCTGAGCCGAGGGTTGTAGAAGGACCAGAATTTGTTGTGGCGACCCCATGGGGTCGCGGAGGAGGTCACGGGAGGGGGCGGGGGGGAAGGGGAGCTGTCCCGCTCACCGCGTTGAGGGCCTCGGCGGCGCTGGTGAGCACGGCGGGTCGCAGCGAGTGGATGAGGATCTTGTTCTCCGTGAGGGCGAACAGGAGCAGCGTTGCCGCGTTCTCAGGCCCCAGGTTCTGGAGCAGCGTGCAGAACGACGCGCCACTGCCCGGGGCATGAGAGAAGGAAACCTTCGCTCGTTGTGTTTGCGGTGCGAACACTACTGCGTGGATCGCTGGGTCCGTTCATCAATTGATAAGGAGTTTTTATATATCCTTACGATCACGTCACCATCATCAGTAGCTATGATCTATCCACGGCTGGATGAAGGCCTCAGGCCGTTTCTATCTCTCGGGGTCATATAAAGCAACAATCCATCGAGCTTCTTCTAAACTATCAGCTACCGTCCCTTCTAGCGAAGCGTCCTGCCCAAAATAAACCTAATCTTAATTGAGGGTCAATATGATTTCTGCAACTTATGTATGTTCTCCGAGTATAATTCCATGCAAGCGCATAGTAGAAACATTGACTCAGATGTGATAGCATGTATATATTTTTAGTCATATGATGTATATAATGGGTTTACTTGACCTCTGCAGGGGACAAGAGCTGCTATCATTGACGACAACGTAAAAAATAAAAAATAAATATTTCGATTTGAATCGCAACTAAGGATCGATAAATAATTCCACTTGTCATATTGACAGCGTACAATATCGCAGTTTTGTTCTGAATGGGCTCCATAGTTTAAGCGGAGTGCTCTTGTCAATAACATTCTGTCAGCACGGCATCATTCATTCATTATTTTCACGTGTACCCATATCGAGCAATTTTTTTGCTCCTTTTAGCAAAGTTCAAGGTGTTATCAGGGCTGAAGATGCTCATCTGAGGAAAGAAGCCATTTACTTTTTTTTACCTTTAGAGAAGTATTAAAAACATTAACTGCATTGTAACGTGCCTGAAATAACTGGTACCGTAGCACCAATTATAAGCTTGCAATGAACTGGGCACAACGCCATAGCCAAACATTGCAATTGGAATGTATCTTGCAAACACACACACCACACACAAGCTGTGTGTATCCTAGGCTATTTTTCAAGAATTTAAGCTTTGGTAAATGAAGAAAAAAAAACACTAAGAGTCCCAGCAAGGCACGCCATTATCACATCCCAGTGACGTTATTATGCCAACACTCCTATTTTTGTTTGAATGCGTAAATGCGGTGACATCACTCCGAGCGTATTGATGGGGTATCTGGCAATGATTTTTTAAAATCTTTTTCTCATTCTTCAAACTCACGTCAGGCAGCCCGGAAACACAGCCTAGGTATGTGTCTATACATTAAGTGGCTAATCTGCAAGTTATTAAGTATGTATGTGTCTTTGTCCAGAGAAGTCCTCCTCGGCAGCACCACCAATCTCAATGAATGAGGTATGTACGTAGAACTTCTTTCCCTCTAAGGAAAAAGACAGGAGGATTTCTACACAAATCTGGCTGTCGCTTGATGAAGCTAGTTGTAATTCATAATGAAGGTTTTTGGGTTAGATCGCGTTATTTATAAATGTGTCGTAACCCTCCACCACCCGACACGGTCAATCAGCAAAAAAGTGTCACGTTGACAAAAGACAATTAGTTCACTACTTTAGCCCACCGGTGTGTTGAAGAGCGAAGCCAGAATTCTGGCGAATTGCCCGATGATGCTGGATGTAATTACCAGCAAAACGTCGTACTCAAACTGTAAATGTTGTGGATTCACTCTTCAACACACCGGTGGGCTAAAGTAGTGAACTATTTGTCTTTTGTCAACGTGACACTTTTTTTTGCTGATTTGCCGTGTCGGGTGATGTAGGGTTATGACACATTCACAAATAACGCGATCTAACCCAAAAACCTTTATTATGAATAATATTGGTCGCGAAAGCCTACGTGTTAAACTAGTTGTAATTACTGGCAAAACATTGTACTCAGATTGTAAATGTTGTGGCTTGGCTCTCCAACACACGTTGTGCTGTACTCATAACGAATTGGCATGTTCTGTTTATGTAACAAAACGACCTAATTAGCTGTGTTGGTTGGTGGTGGGTTTTTTGACACATTTATATATTTACGCAATCTAAACCAAAAAACCTATACTATGGATGATGTTAGTCGCGAAAGCCTACGTGTTAAACAGAACTTCTTTCGCACCGTACGTAGTCAACCGTGCTAACTGGAGATGTGGGACATCTTGAAAGCCTGTGATATGTTGTGTATGCTATGAAGGACCACATTTCAATTTACCAATTTATCTTGGACCCAACAAATTATTCTTATCCGCCCTCACGCTGCCTATCTCCTCTATCATGTAAGATAATAGCCTGGCAGGTGAAACTAGCCCCACATCTCCGTTTAAATATCATACGACAGATAGGTGTGTGCTGCTTGATAGCAGGGTGTGCGTTGGATGGTGGGGGTGGAGGTTAAAGATTAATCTCAATGGGCCTACGACTACGGTGTCAAGCTGGCGAGTGGCAGTGTCAGGTGGGTGCTGAATAAATGACGAGGGTCAGGTGAGCATCATGCCTTATGTCACGCCATCCCTAGGACGGGCTGGCCATCAGTCTACAATAAAAGCACAATGTTTATTTTGGACCGCTCAATGATTTATAGAAAAAAATATCCTTTGTCTCTGAATAATTACTACGGTACCACAAATATTTGCCGGCCGAGAACGGTAGCCTGGTTCTCTCCAAGTCCGTGGTTCCCATTCTGTGGTCCAGGGACCACCGATGGTGCCTGCAAGGGCGATTGGAAGTGGTCTTGTGGGTACTAAGAGTTACAGCAGTTTAAATTTTGAAAAGTTATACGTGCAGGGTGGTCTGCAAATTTATCTTGGGGGTGGGGTGGGGGGGGGGGTTGAGTGGTGGTCCGCAGGTCCAGAAATTGGGAATCACTGCCAACAGGCTCCACGAGGAGCCTCGGGCCAAAGGAAAGGAGCGTGGGCTACCTGAGAGGTAGAGGTGAGGCGATGGGCTGGGACAGCACCAGGGAGTCCTGCATAGAGAGCTGTAGCACAAAACACAAACACCACAGCAGCAGCAGCAGCAGCTGCTGTTAATACGCACCGAAGACAAAGATCCGCCACTTAGTGCGAGAGACTCTATTTTGGGGCAAATGCTGTTTTGCGAGCATGCCTAGCCCTGAAGCGCTGACGTTTCACACCACATCAGGTATTGAGTTATGGGTCAATTAAATTGAGAGGCCGATACCTAGTGCAGATATAATTTATCACCGACATTAGCTGTGGCAGAGAATTGAAATCAGAATATTTATTTATACCGGACGAATTCGATGAGCTATGAGGCTCTCTTTCACAGATGTCCAGTAGTCAATTAATGCGGCTGGTTTTGCAGCGCACTGGGGGTTAACCAATGCGCCTCCGCTCTCAACCTGGTAAGCACCACGCACACATATCCGCAGTGTATTCTCAAAATGACAGGCCCCTTTCGGGACGTGGCAGTCAAGGGAGTGATTTTCTGGCAATTATCCCACTCCAGAACAGAGACCAGAATGTGAAAAGTGTCTGCACACATTGCTCCATTCTCTGAGAGGCTGTCACACCTTCTGGCATGTGACCCGAACCTGGGTAGCTCCCCACAAAAACCCAGGTAATTGCATCGATCCCAGGATGTTACGAAACAAAAACCACGTGAACTAGAGGCACATTGCAGGAGCCAGCCCAAATGGCATTTGGGGTGCAATGGAACCAAATGCTAGTTAACAATACTGACAGTTTATGATTCCCATGATAATCGACATCAGCTATGTTCTATCCACTGCTGGATGAAGGCATCACCACGCTGTTGCCATCCATCATGGCCCAGGAATGCCACAATCAATTTCGCTCCGGCACATTGAGATGCCCTAATCTTGTCGCGCCATCTCCCCTCCCCCCCCCGGTTTATGATTCTCAAGGAATGTTGCACAATGGGTTGGCAGGATCGCTCATGCAAAGTTCGCTTTGCCAGTTTGCAGACGACGTTCTGTGTTTCTCCACGAACCCGTCTTCGCAGGTGACGATCGAATCAACGAGTGAACGAACAAACGTGCTTTAGGTTAAAGAGCCTCACCTGGACAAGGATGCGTGGCCGTTGGGAAGAAGGGAAGGGCACGTGGAACATGAAATGGGAGATGTGCCTTCAAGCAAGCACCACGGGCCAAACACACACGCCACAAAACGGGTCAACATTAACCGAGGCGAACGCAATGGCACAAACGCCCGAAAAACTAAACAAATATCTTATCGCGTTATTTGCTCATGTCTTAAAGCGCAAACAGCACAATTACCGCGGATAGAAGTGAAGAGGCAAGTGGCCACGTATACGCATACCCGTACGATGAAAATTAACGAGAGCTCATTAAGGCAGGGGACAACACGCGTGGCAGTGGTGAGGCTGGCACTACGCGAGCCAAGCTGTCCATCTCCTAAGTGCGATGCTGACCATACTCGGCACGTTGCTCATTTAGGGGTTAAGTTGTCCCAAGGGAAGGGCCACGCCATTTTCATAATCAACTAAACGTGACCAGTCTTGTGCGTAAGCCAGGTATGTTAGCGCAATGCAGACCTTCATGCCGCTGCTCGAAAGATACGTACAAAAACGCCCCGTTTAGCCTTGCAGACTCTTGGAGCAAAAATATATTTGTGAGCACCTATTAAGGCTGGTATGGTATGCACCGCACCCGCCTTCGTCTCCCCAGCGCTGATATTTACACAATACACCAAGGTACTCATTTAAGGGTGCGTCGACCTTGGGGAGACTCACGACCAGTTCAGACATCAGCCGTGACCAGGACCAGGAAATTAAACTCAGGTCACCGGGTCCGAAGCACTGTACTGCTGCTCCCACAAAAGGCACACAGGCACAAGTACTATCCACTCACTCACACGCACACAATCACACGCAACTATACACCAAATAGCTATCCATCCACACTCACCCCCACCGACACACAAAGACAAAGGTCCCCCGTACAGCCTGTAACAGACTGTTGAGGCAAGTGCTGTGAGTGAGCACCTATAAAGGCCGGCACAGCACACAAGGGGGTGGGTGGCCAACACCACGCCCGACCGTCTTTGTCTCCCCAGTGGCAATGTTTAGATACTGCACCAGGTACTCATTTGAAGCCGAGTCGACCTATGGGAGGCCCGGAACCGGTTCAGATAATCGTCGCCGGTGTTGGCTAGGTTCATAGCGCAGCGCGCTAACCGCTATACTACCGCCACATACACCCACACGCAAGCGCCACACAACAAGCGCTCTACGGAGCCAAATCAGATTGAGCCCTGCTAGCAATGCCTGGCGACCACAACGACCGACCACGCCCGCGGTCGCCGCTCACTTCTCAATGGGCAGCGCGTGCGGCCCGGAGAACGACAGCCGGTAGACGAAGAGCAGGAACTTGCGGAAGGCGTCGAAGAACGGCCAACGCGACAGCAAGCAGATGCACTTGTTGGCGTTGACAGAGAACGGCGGGCCCGGCAGCGGCCGTCGGTCGACTTTGCTGCGCAGGCCCAGCTGCACGCCCTGCTTCTCGCTGAGCCGCTCCGCGGGATAGGGCTCGTAGAACTGCACCGCCGCCCCGTACACCTGGGATGGAGGAACAATAATGATGATCATGATAATAAAGTGACGACAGCGTCAACGTCAAAGGAAAGGCTCGCCGAGTGTTGAGAGCGATCGTAAACGTGCAGCAATGTTGTCACTTAATTTTTACGAATTCCGTTCAGAACCGTTTGATTTGAGTTTAAAACTACAGGGGACAGCAGAGAATAGAACTGTTAATTTGCCAGGAAAAGCTTTGCTTCAGTGTACTCATACAATAAATATCAGGTTAATAAAAAAAACACGTATTTTCCGTGTCATTGAGAGGGAAGGTCGACTGGCGTTGTTCCGAATTGACACTTTCATCGTTTAAATGATAGCAATTATAAAATTGGAATTGTTGGGCGGGGAGGGGGGCAGGGTGGAGGGGGAATGCACCATGCTAATTAGGCGATGGGTGCCTTAAACAGAGTCCACCCAGAGCAACAAGACCACCACCCCAACAACGGCAAGGGTTTGCAATTGGTGTCGCACGCCATGCCCTCCGGCCAAACGGACGAGCGCCGCGGGGTGTGCAGGAGGAGGGGGCACCTTGTCCCCAGAGACGCTGGTGAGGATGAACGTGGAGAAGATGGGCGCAGGGCACTTGGTCTTGGGCGGCCAGCACTCGATGACGGCGCCCATGGGCAGGCAAAACATGGGGACGGGCTCGGGCAGAGGGAACGTTTCGTAGTCCTCGGTCGGGTAACGGCTCAGCTGGCCTGCGCGGGATCACACGCACACGTGTGAACAAGCGAGCGCGGTGCCGGCGCTCGGCGAGACGGTCAAGCCGGGGTAATGTGGCAGCGGTGTTTAGACGCACTGCGGTTGAAAGTTTTCCACACTTGAAAAGAGCGCAGAGACGCAACTCGTTTGTCCCGGCTGCACAAATGAAGGCTGCGGGTGCTCCTGACGTCATGCGTGTATGTAGACCTTCTTTCGCAACGTACGTAGCCAACCGTGCTAATCCTGACAACAGGAATGGGCACAGCAGCATCTGATTTGCCAAGCGTCCCGACTGCACAAATGAAGGCTGCGGGTGCTCCTGACGTCATGCGTGTATGTAGACCTTCTTTCGCAACGTACGTAGCCAACCGTGCTAATCCTGACAACAGGAATGGGCACAGCAGCATCTGGATTTGCCAAGCGTGATGTTGTTACGAAAGCAAAAAAATAATCAGTCATCCTGAGCAGTGGCCTCCATGCATACATAGATACATACAAACATACATAGGTGCATACAATAGCATAGATACATACATACATAAAATATCACACATACAAAAGAATACATACATACGCATACTTTAGTATGATTTCCTTAGGCCAACAAAACAGATGGGTGGGCGTGACGATCACAACATTCTGCCAACGCCCGACCACTACCACCAAGGGGTGGCTCCTTGCAGTAACAAAATAATACAAAGTCCCCGGCCTGTTTTACGAGGGCTTCCAGTAACGGTGCCCTCCACCCGACGACCCCCGCGGGCCCAGACCCCACCCATCACCGAGCAGACGGCCAAGGTGAGTGTCAGGCGCTGCTGTAAATAGCGGGCGACTGTACAATGGGCGCACACATTTGACTCGGTCAACGGCAGCTATTTTAAAACTGCCAACGGCACGGCCTGCAGGCCCCAGAGTGCGTGTTGCGACGGGGGAGCTGCCGGGCTTTGCTCGTGATATGTTTAATCCAGCCTTTCGATGTGCTTCACTTAAAGCGGTTGAGAGGCCGCCGGGAGCGGAAGGGTCAATACGAACACAGGTTAACGTGAGAACATCAGCAAATACGGACTGCATCAAGCAAAACGAGCGGTGGCAACGGTGGTAAATCGCACCGCGCAATGAACCCAGTGACGTGGTGATCTTGACTCCCAACCATCAAGTGGAGTGTAATGCCTAGTCCTGACATTAAGCACCCTCCACGCTTGATAACCTACGCGCACCAGCCAAACGCACGGTCAAATAACTCCCGCGACCGGCGTGGCGTGGATGGGCTTTCTCACGAGGCATAATCTAAACGGACAACATTCACGATCCCTCCCGCACACGCGTTATGAGCACGTGCGTCCGAGCATCGACAAACCCAGGCACGGGACCCGAAGCGCGACAACCTCTCTTCCGCCACCTCAACCGCGGTTTACTCATTAACGAGCCGGCGACATTGAACCGGTTGCGTAATCGGCGCACTTGTCAGTAAGTCCCACCCGCGCGTCGTGTGGAAAAACACTGCCGAGGAGCGAGCGCGCGAAGGGCACCCGAACCGCGGCTGGCACACGCCCCCGCGGTCACGCGCAACGACGACAGCCGATTCCCCCGCACTGCCGGCGCTGGCGAGTGGCACCATCAGCGTGACTCGAATGAGTGGCCGAGCAAAGAGCGCGACGAGAGGAGGTGGAAAGAAGGCGACAACAACCTTCGCGCGGTCTTCCATGTGACGCGTGAAAGAGTAACGAATGTCGTCTTTGATCATAGAACTCCCAACCAGTTTGTGTACAGTATACCGGTTCAAGTGCTCATTCAAGGCTGAGCTGACCTAGTGGAGACCCAGGACCAGTTATCATACCCATTTTTCCACCGATGCTAGCCATGGGTGGTAATCAAACGCAGGTGGAGAGGTTTATAGCACAATGCGCGGATTTCTGCGGTGCCACTTGTAATACATGGGCTCCATAAAAAAATTATATCCAAGTGTATGAATCAGCGGTGGGAAAGTTACAGTCCCAAGGGCCAGCCAAATATGGCCCGCGGTTTCAAGTTCATACGACTCATGGGCACATGAGAACCTACCACTTAGAAATTACCCACAAACAATATTTATCTGTTACTACAAATGTCTTAGCCGCAAGAATGGGATTCTAGAGGGTAATATTTTTGTACTGGCGGCAACACCATGCTTCTAATGTTCGCATGCTCAGTCACTTTTAACCCTGCGAGGGCCTCTTGCAGTCAGAAGTGGTTGAGCTGCATGTTTATGTGTGGCCCATGCCAAAGGTGTTTGAAAGCCCTGTTCAGCACTGTGTATGGAAAAGGATCTCCACCGCTGGTTTAGGTGATCGAGTTCTCACCGGCTTTGTATGCGATGGAGTTGGCTCGAACCACAGACTTCTTGTAGCACAGGAACACAGAGGCACCCCACTGAGCAAACAAAAACAACGACCATGGATTTAACTTAACACATAGCAGGTTATCACAGCCAACTGTACGATAAAAAATTACATTTTTGGGGTTTGGTCAAGGAACAATTCAGCCGAATTTATGTTCCGAGATCTTCCGACCACCCGACACAGCCAAACAACATCAAATTATCAGGCGAACGAGTGTTTGAGGAGCCCAGTATTATTGTTTAAATTCGCCGGTTAAGTTGATGAATTCTCATGGCCGAATTTAGGAGTTGGAGGCGGCGTTTCGCTTGAAACTGCGTCAAGCATCACGAGGACAACGGAATTTTTAGGCGTTCCGCAGCGAAACAGCAACAGAAGCCATGAACTGGTGAGCGTTGTTACGATTGCAGAGCGAAGAGTAAGATGCGCGCATCTCAAAGTCCGAGTTTTTATTATTAAAGTTTTTTTTATTCTACCAGGTAAAGGCTCACCGAGCTATACGGCTCTTTTTCAGAAGCGACCTGGCCACAGACGATCGCTCAACCAAGTGGCTTATCGTGTGGAAATTTATAGCAGCCAAATACTCGAAACACAAATGTGGAGGGAAAAACCGGAGGTCCCGGAGAGAAATCCACACGACCACGGTTGAGAAGATCCAAACTCCAAATATTCAAGCTTGAGGGTTGGGATTGAACCCACGACCTCCTGTATACCCAGCGAGGTACTTACCATCTAGCCACCGGGTTTGTTCACCAATGGGGGGTGGTGCTCTTAAACAGCATCCCTAAGGAGATAACAACGATTTTCTGACCGTATAACAGCGAGCAATGGCTCTTAATCTTATTTACAATGACAATGCGGATTTACAGGGCGCCCAAATACAACGGCATCTCAGGGTGCTGTAAAGGAACAGTGGGCATATTTAAAAGGCGAATGAGTCTTGCTACAGCCTAGTATTTAATGTTCCACAGCAACGCAGGTGTCTCTGTGTACGGTATTGATTTTCATGTCAAACGGGGGTTTCCCATATGTTTTTGCAGAGTGCTGTTGTCAATAACATGTGGAAATCTGGGCGTTTAGTTTAACGAGCCTCACTCAGCTGCCAAAGGCCCAGAAAGTCAGAGCGGTCCAGAGTTTGCTTAATAATTAATCAATCCTGGAACGATGATTGGCTGAGTCACACACCAACCAGGATTTGAACTCGCAACACCTTCTGATGGCGGGCAACTCGCTCCACCGCTGTGCCACCTGGCTGGTAAAGTATGGAACCAGTGGGTGGTATCCATACACAGATCGCCCTGGATGTATGTTGAACTTTTTTCACACCGTAGGTAGCCATCCGTGCGAATTGGAGGTGCTGAGTAAGGATGAAAAAACTAAACACAAAAATCAGTTCGAAGGAAATGATTTTAAAGTGCATAGCTCCAGTGGCTTTCTAATATCGGAAGGAAGAGCGTTCCAGACGGCCGCAGAAGCGCATCTGAAAGCGCGTGCGATGCGGTGACCTCCTTTCTTCGACGGCTCGCAGCCAGAAACCGCCGCCGCGAGGATGACCCGGAGTTTGGCGCGCGATTGGTTCACACGCTCCTTGACGATCACGACTACAGCTCACCATGCCGGAGTTGAGGTTCTTGTTGACCTTGCAGAAGGTGTGCGGCGGCGTCTCGCCCTTGCTGGCGACAATGATGCAGATGTCGGTGACGGCGAGCGCGTTCTGGCTGGCGGACTCGTGCGCGCGCCGGTACGTCACGTAGATGTGCTGCGCGCTGTTGTTCACGTTGGCCGGGCGGCCGTACGGCGTAGTGCGGATCGTCTCGCAGCCCTGCATCAAGCGCTCCTTCCACTCGTATAGAACCCTGACCAAGCACCAGCAGCAGCAGTAATATGAGTAGCAGTTGCAGCAATAGAAGCAGCAGTAGCGGCAACAACAGCAAGAACATTTAATCATAATATATAAAAGTCCGCTAATAATGCCGCTTATCAATGTCATTGCCCTCATTATTTATCACTTGGCAAGTTTGCATAAGTTTTAACTTACAATTGCAACAGTTGTCAGGCTGTCACCCAAACAATAACAGAGCCAGACAAGTCAAGATGTCTATTAGTACGCATCCAACTCGCTCACTTGCCCTTAAATCCACAGCAATATATAAAAATGTAACATGTATATTATTTATCCACATAAGACCCACCGAATCTCAAGATGCTTTTTCATCAGGGTCCAGCTTTGGGATGTCTGGCCAGTACCACTTTAACTTTTCAATGCAGCCCTGGCTACAGGGCTGACTGACCAAGTGACAGCCGGCCGGACGGAGACGAAGCGACGTACTGACTGAGCGAGCGAGCGAGCAATCGAGTGATCGGGCACGTGCCCTTACCCCAGATCGGTGAGCGGCGGCTTGTCGCGGCCACGCCGATAGCACAGGTAGAGCTGGGGGCTGCTGAGGCTGCCGTGGTTGAGGTCGGCATCCAGGTTCGTCGGGGTCGCTTCGATGCACGTGTAGCCCTGTGGCGGCTCCTCGCCCTGCGAGCGGCACACCACCGCCACGTCCGTGATGGGGTCGCGCCGCCGCACCGCCTTCTGCCGCCCCTCGGCGAACGCCATGTCCTCTTCCAGGGGCTTGGACTCCTCCGTCAGGCCGGCCACCACGAAGTAGTCGGCCACGCGTGGGCCTTTCTCCTCCATGGCTGGGCGCCTGCTCCTGCTCGCTCTGCGCGGCAGAAAGCGTACGGAGGAGAGACAACGGGGAGAGGAGACGGCGGAACGGCACCTCCGATTAGCACGGTTGGCTACGCATGGTGCGAACGAATTTCAAATTACGTACGAGGTAAACGCTAACGACACGGAAACTGTTAATAAGACCTTTGTGCGGATCCCTATATTCTGTGGACTGTTGCGTTGCACGACGGCTTTGGCAGACCTTCATCTAGCAGTGGATGAATCATGGCTAATGATGTGAATGATTATTTACATCCAGCCAGGTTTGCTCAGGGATCAAAGCACTGATCTCGAAGTCACTCAGACCATGGATTAAATCTGGGTTTCAGCCAGCTGGGATTAAAACGAGCTCTCAAGCGTGGCGAGTTGGTGGTCTTAGCTCGGTCACTAATGACTGCACAAAAAAAAACCACTATCATATAAAGTTAGGTGTTTCATATAATTTGGGTATTTCAACTAATTTCACACATTCCAGCTCAGAATGACAAGTACGGAAAGGCCTCGACATCCGAGAGGGTTTCTGTTCTTTGAAAATCTGCGCGAAAATAGAATTCGCGGATTTAATATACAACGTTCATCTGGGGAAAATGGGGTAAGGTTCCCGTGTCCGCTTGGACATATGGGAGAAAATGAAAATGCTTCATAATATTATTCCTGTACGCAAAAATGTCATCCACATAATTTAGTAATATGTACAATAATATAATATATAATAAACACACGTAATACAACAAAATAAAAGACAATCAACAAATACACGCGAATCTTCATCTTTATTTATCCTGGAGAAAATCCGATGAGCTATGAAGCTTTTTTTCACAGATGTTCAGTATTCTTGGTTCTTTCGGTAAAGTCACATAGAAGGGAAACAATAAAATAATATATTTTTTTCCCTTCTATGCGACTTTACCGAAAAAAACAAGAATATGAATCCCTGCAGTCACCAAAGCTTTAAATCAAAATTTAGATGTTCAGTAGTTTTACAGATTCATAATAAAGGCTTTTGGGTTAGATCGAGTTATTTATAAATGTGTCGCGTTATTTATAAATGTGTACGACACATTTATAAATAACGCGATCTAACCCAAAAGCCTTTATTATGAATAATATGGGTCGCGAAAGCCTACGTGTTAAACAGTTTTACAGATGTCCAATACATTATACTGTACATTTGGAAGCTTTATTTACCTCGGATTATGATGGGGGTGTGATGATGATGATGGTGGTCAGCAGATGCACTATCACAAGCTAGTCTATCAACAACTCTCCTTTTTGAGCTAAACTCATAACTTATTTCTGCCTTTAACTCTCACTCTTACTTCCTCGCTCGACGCTTACACCCCACAATCGAAATCCAAAAAACACCTCTTAGTGAGTGGATTCTATCAATTTATAATATAATTATTTTTTCCCCGAGTGTCTGCTGCTGCTGCGTCCAGCACAGCGCGTTGAGATCCTTGATGAAAAGCCGCTAAATAAATGGAATTGTTATTACTGCACTGCACAAGGAACCCTTCTCCGTGACACGACGTTGCCGAATCGCGAACAGCCGGAGGAGAAAAAGGCGCGAAACTTAAACCATGGACAAACATTAAATCGCGAATAATCTAATTTCAAAGAAAGAAAAATCCGCGAATTAAGGTTTGTCTTGACAGCCAAGTGACTAACCATCTCTACAGCAGGACACAAGGTAAAGTGCCGCCAGCACTCCTAATGTGGATAAGAGGTCACTTGAAGTGGGGGCCTCAGAAGCGAGGGGTGAGAATCGCTGCTCTGTAACAGTTTTTTTTACTAGTTTTTTTTTTGCAACAAAACAAAAGCCCAGTATAAGACACAGACCAGTTCTGTAAAGAGTTTATAAAATGGGCCCTGCGTGTCGCGAAACGGACGCATGACGTGGGCAGCACGGTTTGAAGAAAACTAAAATGGAAAAGGCCAAAAAAAAACGCTTTAAAGAGGAAAGGCTGCCACTTCCACTCCTGAGTAGGGTTGGAAGGCCATGATCCCTCCAAGGTCGATAAAATAATGACCACGTTGTGAGACTCTGATGGTGGATCTTATGGAGGGATTGTGGCCCAACAATGGTGCTTCCAATTATGACCACAACCAGTACTGAATATGCACTCAATGCCCCTAGCGTGCAAGAAATCATCTTAAGTGGATTTATCCAGAAAGGTCTCAATGACTGTCCAGACATGATCAGTACGGTACAGCTGTGGATACTCGATATATTCCAAGTTACTGAGTGGGTATAGAAGAGTGCACATGGGTATTTATCGATTAAAATTGATTATTTTACTCTCACTAATCATGCATAAACTTGCACATATAAGAGGAGAAAAATTAGATGTCCATGCAGACAAGGTCAGCAGCCGACTTTCTGTACTGCCACCTCCTGACCAGGTCACCAACCTACAGCCGAGGAGTTAGCGCACATTGAGATCCATTAAGAGGACTGTAATTAATACACGCAAGAGGTGATTTCTAGACGGCAAAATGTGCGAATGCGATCATAGGATTGATCTTCCTATCATGCCTTGCACGCCGTGTGACATCATCGCGCTGCGTGTGTCACGCACGCAGGCTTGTTTAAGACCGCCATCTCCAAAGAGTCAAAACTGTGGCACATTATTTTATGAGGCTCAAAAGATGTCGAATTATTTCACGGTATATTTTTGCATGAGCCACCAAAAACTGCCTGCTAAGTGATGGACACTGCAGGCAGTAGCCGCAACACCCAGCACAATGAACATGACCATGCCAATGGCATTAGTGGCAGATGGTATTTTTTGTGTTTATTATACAACTTGCTATTATGGTGTGCGGGTGTGCACGCGCGTGCGTCCATGTCTCCATTACAAACGGAGCATTATGGCTTTGTGAAATGCTCATTCATGTGATAATTTTCTCACCCACAATGTAAATTGCTACGCAACGTATATATGAAAGGACTCGTACACGATGTATGTTACGTTCGTAAGAATGCATGTATTGGAAGGCACTGGAGTAACGCACGATTAAATCGAGATTGAAAACTCACTTCTTAACAACTGATTTTTTGTGTTTAGTTTGTGGGTCCTTCCCCACACCTCTGATTAGCACGGTACGGTGCGAGAGAAGTTCAACATACAGTAAACGTATCGATTCCCCCTGTGACTGATTCTGTGAACTTCTGCTTATAGGTGAAGGGGTCACGATTCTAACCAAACATTTATATAGTTTCTGTCCCGTCTCAACCGCAATGTTTATATTTATTTCAGTTGCTTGTTTGGTTTCTCCACCAGCATATCATTTGCATTAATCACATATAATTGACAGTCAACACAGAGGTTGATGCATGTACTGTACTGTGAAAGTAAAAAAGGGTTGTCACGGCTTGATGCATCGTTACACGCATATCAGAAAGTGAATTAATTCTGGCAACAGTACACACACACACGCGCGTAGAATTCAAATACACACCATTAATACAAAAGGCATGTAACAAATATGACTGTACCATCTTAACTACCAAGCTCACACTGAAATATTTATCGGGTGGCAAGTCACAAGCTCTTGACAAAAACCCACATAAGCCAAATCCGGTTTGCTCGCAGCACTTAAAAGCAGAGGGGCGTGCCATCCATTTTCATCAAGATGGTGTGTCGAGATTTCAGCAGCCATGAACTTTTGCAGTCAATGACATCATTCCTTTGCAAACCACTGAGCAGAACTGGAGCGGTGAGTTTTTTTTTAATATATATAAAAATGTAAGCCTCTCAATTTCACACATTCATTTAATTCGAAGCGCGTATACCGTGCATGGAAGTCCGTTTGCGCCGAGAACGCGCAGCAGCAGCAGCAACGACCACGACAAAAAAGATTCGGGAAAGTAAAAAAAAGACTCCTCTGTGTTGCACGCGAACCGGGCGGCCGTGGCCTCCGCGGGTCTCCCCAAAACGTTTGCCGAGAGAAATCACGAAATGACACGGCTGTTATTGCCAACTCGCGAAAAACCGTCTGGCGCACGCAAACTCACTTCGCGATGTCGCACAGAGTCAGAAGAATTCTCTCGAGCGCTCATTGCATGAGATGGGTTGCGCTAGAGCAGCGGGGGGGGGGGGGGCGTGTGTGTTGGAGGGGATGACGGCAGCTGTTTTCAAGTCCCCATGACTCTTCACGACGCGCACGTAAAGCTACCGCACCCCACCGGTAGCTGACACCTGTATGAAGTCACGGCACGTGAGACTCCGTGTTACCAACAAATTTAAAAAACCACTCCAAAGGGAACGCAAAAAAAGCTCAAAAAGCTATTTCCTTGCCCGGATAAGCAATGGATGGGGGTGGTCGCGCACCATCTTCTGTTTACACAGCCTCTGGAGCCAGTGGTGGAAATTCCACATTCCTATGGCGCGGGAAGGGGGGGGGGACGAGTGTATCTAAAGGACAAAGCACTGCTGATAAAGCTACTTCGCCCCACCCCGCCCGTGCGGTAGCTCACACCTGTATGAAGTCAGGGCACGTGGGACTCCGTGACTTCCTCCGTGTTACCAAAAAAAAAAACCTCAAGGGGAACGCTGTAAAAATTTTAATCTGGCTCCAAATCTCAAAAAGCGATTTCCTGCCCGGATAAGCAATGGATGGGGGTGGTCGTGCACCATCTTCTGTTTACAGCCTCTGGAGCAAGTGCTGGAAATCCCGCATACCTATGGTACTGCTGATTTTTCCCACGAAGCGGCGCTCGTTTCTATTGTTATTAACCCCGGGAGGGATGATGAGCCGAATCAATTCCCAACCAGGATTTTGAACTCGCTAACCGCTGAGCCAACTGGCCAGATCACGGATGTAAACATGTGCCGTGCCAATTCATTAAGATTGATACTAATTCGCGTCATAAAACGCATTGAATCGTGTGTGTAAGAATAGAAAAAAACATTTCAAATCGTACATGTTGTTTTCGATGAGTGACCTCTCCATTATGTTTTTTTTTTACACGTGTTTACCCGGGAAAGC